CCCCTCACACACACCCTCACACCCCACGGGGGAGCCTGGCACCCCTCACACCCCCAGGAGCCCTGGCACACCTCACACACAGCCTTCACACACACCCTCACCCCCCAGGAGCCCTGGCCCCTCTCACATACCTCCCTCACACCCCACAGGGGAGTCTGGCACCCCTCACACACACACCATAGGGGTGTCTGGCACCCCTCAGGCTCCTTATACTGCTCAGGTGCCCTGGCACCTCTCATACAGAGCTCCCACAGCCCTCACACACACCCTCACACACCCCACAGGGGAGTCTGGTACCCCTCACACTCCTCATACTGCTCAGGTGCTCTGGCACCTCTTATACATAGCTCCCACAGCCCTCACACACACCCTCACACACCCCACAGGGGAGTCTGGTACCCCTCACACTCCTCATACTGCTCAGGTGCCCTGGCATCTCTCATATACAGCTCTCACAGCCCTCACACACACCCTCACAGTCACAGGAGCCCTGGCAGCCCTCACACACCCCACAGGGGAGTGTGGTACCCCTCACACACCTCCCTTATGCCCCACAGGGGAGTCTGGCATCCTTCACACTCCTCATATTGCCCAGGTGCCCTGGTACTCCTCACACACCTCCCTCATATACCACAGTGGAGTCTGGTATCCCTCGCCCCCCCAGGTGTCCTAGCTCCCCTCACACCCCCCTCCCTCCCAGCCCATGTGAATTTAGCCACATTAGTTCCAGATGTTGCTACCTGGCTGTGCTGTGTTGTGTTGCTGCTCCTGGGGCAGGTGAAACCTCTTTGCTTTGGGAGCTGCAGGGGCAGGAGGAGGTGAGGTGAGGAGTGAGGGCACTGATTTGGGAGAGGGGATGCAGGAGGCAGTGTGAACTTGAAATGTTAACAGGTCAAAACTATGAAGCTTTAGTCCCTGGTGGAGAATAATGGGCTGGAGGAGGTTTAGTTTCTCCAGTTCAGGTGGCTGCTGCAGAGCCAGTGTTGGTTGTGCTTTTCCAAAACTCCTGGTCTGGGATGGTGCCTTGGGCTGGATTGGTGCAGAACCTAAAGGTGCCATGGAGTGATGAGGCTGTTTGACTTGGGTTGTGTACTACCTGCTCTGTATCATGGGAAGTTTGACACCCCTGCTTAGGTTGTGAGGTACTTTTTACCAGCAGAGAATCAACTTAAAATCCCTGTTCATTTTTATAGGTGAAATCTACGAAGATCTATTTTGGCTAACTGCTTCCTTCCTTTTTCCATCCCTGTGACTGCAGGAAGGGCTTCTGGAGCATTATCATTGTCCCAAAACCTCAGCACTAAAGAGGGAAATGCTTTGGGCAGAGTTTGATTCTCCACCCTCTGTCTCGAACTTCAAACTGTTACCTGTGTCAGATTCCGTGAATGTTTTGCTTTCTCCTCTAGAAGAATAAAATCTCTTTCTCCTGTTTGTTTTTTTTAAATATGTTTTTGGGTGAGCATAACAAAACACATGAGCCCACATTGAGGACATTGTTCCTTGATAAATCTGTCTTTATTCTTTGCTTCAGACAAACCACGGAGTCGATATGCTGTGAATGGCTCTGGTGACACCACGGAAGATCAAGATGGGGACTCCAGGTAGGGGGAAAACATTTCTCCTTGCCTAAGAGTTTGAAGCAGAGGGGAAAGAGCTTCGTGCTCTCTTGCCTCCTAGTTCAGTAGGCAAATTCTCTTGGACTGTATAGAAGACAACCTGCCAAAAAATGCTTTAATGCCAAGTTATGAGTAACTTAGTGCTCAGTAACCAGGAGTGTCTCATGAGGGAATGCTGCTGAATCTGTTTTCTGGGCAAGGTGCAGGTCAGGTATTTTGTGCTCATTAGAAAGATAATATTCCCCTTTCCAAACTAGGAGTTTTAATCCTTTGGCAAAATACACTTTTCTCTACCTGCCTAACTGGATATATTATTCAGTTGCCTCCAGTCCTTCCTTAGCTCATGTAATTGTCATATGGAATTGCTGTGCACTAATGAACAACTAATTTTGTTTCTCCAGACAGAGCTGCTGTTATGTCAGTGGAGTGAAGTAGTAGCTCAAAAGGACACTGAGACTGTAAGATGGTTTTTTAATTACAGGAAATCAGTGGATACCAAATGCATTGCACACAGGCAGTGTGGTGTTCAGCCTGTATGGATGGACCCTCTAATTAGTTTTTGTAGAACATTTGAAATCTGCTGCATAGTTCTAAATTTATGACTATCAGATAGGAGAGAAATCTGGGAAAGAAAAAGGGGTTTGTGTCTGTTGGCACACAGCTCAGTTGCAGAGCTTTTGTGATAGGTATTTTAATCTCCAGTATTAATAAAAGGGTAGTTGCTGCTCTTCTCTCCTGTGAGAGTACAAAAGAAGTAACAATCACTTTCCTCCAAAAAGAAGTGTAAGTTTGTTCTTAACTTTATGACTGAGAAAGGTGTAGCTGAAATTAAAATCACCCATGACAGTAAACATCATCAATTCCTTTGGTTTTCCAGGGCTGGGGTCTTATGAAAACACATTTTGATTGAAGTGATTTGTATCTCTTGCCTCTTGTGGTGCCTTTGGAACCTTCAAACGAGTGCAGTACAGACATGGCCCAGCTCCTGCTGGGTTTGGTAACTGGTGAAAGGTGTTTCAGACTGGGCTGTGGGTGCCAGGAAGGGTCAGTGCACATGTTTACTGGTTATCCCAGAGGATTTGTTGGTTGCTGTTCAAAACCTTGGCTCTGGTATTTCCCAAGACAGATTAAGACAATGTTGGAATGATACTAACTTCTGTCTGGTGCTGATTCTTGTGGCCATTTTGGCAGATTGGACAAAGCACTTGATGTGGAGCTGTTTGTTGGACGTTGTGTGGTGCTGAATTAGTGTGATGCAGAACGTGGCTACTGCAGTGGTGTAGGCAAAGCTTTCACCTTTTCAAATGTTGGTCAGGTGAGGAAACTGCTAATATTTTTCTGATGCTGGTTTTAAGTAGATTGAATGTGCATGTAACCTACATGAAACAAATATTTAGATTACTTCATTGTAGTGATGTCCAGAACTCTGAGCTTGAAATCTAGTCAGGTATCTGTTATTAATCTTTTAGTGTAGAAAAGAATTGGTGATCTCTCAGCTAAGGTCACTAAACACAAGATATCATGGTCCTAAAGTCCTGAATGAAAAAATACAGACAGAAATCCTCCTGTGTGGTGATGCTCCTCAGAACACAGAAGCTGTCACTTGTGCAGTGTTGGATATAGTAACACACACAAATTCAGGCTGCAGTGTCTGCACTTGACTCTTACTGAGGTCAGTCTTTCTAATCCTCTGGAGTTGTGCCTGAGGAAAGTAATTTATTTAGTGGTTTTATATTATTTCAAGGAAGTGTTGGCAAAAAATTCCGTTAAATCAGCACGTCAGTATCTCCATGGATGTTTTTGGTGGCACAGACTGAGGCTGTGGAGTGGGCAGACTGGCAGGTTGAGTTGGTGGTGTATGGCAAGTTTGATAATATTGAAAGGTTTGATAATATTGAAACATCTTTCCCATGTTTTCATGTTTTAGTAGCAAAGGTTACTTCAGATTTATCTTGTTGCTGCAATGGTTCTTATGAGGATTGGATTAATCCTTTTTTGTGTACTGTATGTTTGTCTTTAATTTACTAGCAATCGAGCACCAATTGTATCCTAGATAGGTTTCACTGTTGCTTTTTTCCAAAACTGTTGGAACCCAAGTTGATTACTTTTGTGCTGACCTTTCCCAGAGCAGTTGAGGTGTATTTCTTCATGGCCTCAGAAAGGACAAAATTAGATCACTTTAGGTGCCTTAGGTCCATTTCAATATAGCATATTTGTATACATGGTTGGATTTCTTTTCGCCTCCAGTCTCAATTTCCTGGTCATTGTTTTGCTTTTTGTTTGCTGGAGGTTTTTAATAGACAATGGCAGATTGTGCTAATCCTCCCTCCAGGTTACTGCTGTGTGTTTGCTTATATTAATTTCTACTCAATGAAGCTGTGTTTGGGCCTTCAGAATGTAGATTTTTCTTCCTGTTAAAAGCAAGTTGAGCTGCAAAAGTGGTTGAGGTGTGTTGATGGTGGCCACGCACCAACTGTCAAAACAAATTGCTCGTGGAGTGTCTCTCTTTGTTGGCTGCTTCTCAGCCTTTCATCATTTGCTCTCTTCCAAAACATCCGTCAGCTTCTGAGTGCTCTACCAGGAACACACACCTCTCACAGCTTATGGAGATGCCTGCCAGTCTTTTTTTTTTATCCCTGAAAAAAGTGAGGCAATTACTCCTTTGAAGCCGTGAGATAATGCTTTGTTAAATTGGTTTGAAATGGTTTTGTTGTTTTTCTGCAGGTGGTACAGTCAGCAAGCACAAATTCTAATGAAGAGGCACCTATAGTAACATATGTTACACCAGACTCTGCATTTTTAGCAGCAAAACTGACTAACTGGAGGAGGTTTAGCAAATTTGGCAGCACTGATGTCATTAATTGGCCAAAGGCTTCTGTTATAAAAAACCCAAGTTTCTGACAAACAAGGATTTGAATGTCTCTTTCTAACAAACAGTGGCTCTCCTGTGATAACATTTCTGTCTCCTCTGTCCCTCTTTCACTGGACCGTAGTGTTCTTCCTTGTATTTATGCTGAAAGGCTTCCTTTCTGTGGTCTTCCATTCATCCACCATCCATCCATCCTTCCTGTAATATCATCACTCCTTTGTGTGCTTTGTCATTTAGAAATGTTCTCTAGGTTCTCTTTTCAATATGACTGTCAAAAATCTGCTGTGTTTTGTATCAAATAATTGTTGGAGGCTTTCATTTGGTCTCCCCTTTCTGATGTGGACAATACAAAGCTTTTATCAGATTGATTTTTTTCAATATATTTAGGAAATTTGTTTCAGGAAACAAGTCCTTTTATTCTGGTTGTTAATTGGGGAGAAAAAGCATTTGACTGTTAAATTGGCAACAGGTGTTTGTGATCCAGAAGTGAGTACAGCTGCTAACACAGCTGCTCTCTACACCTGTTTTAAAGAAGGTTTTTGGATTCTTTGCCTTGAAAACTGTTTTGTCTGCTCTTCCCAAGTTTGTGCTTATTGCCTGGGGCAGACAGAGAGACAGAGAGTGACTTCAGGCGTGTGCTGCGAGTCTGGCCAGATTTGTACCTGCTCTGTGTCCCTCTGGGGGAGCAGAACTGGCTCTGTGTGCCAGGCTCCTTACAGAATCCTGCAACAATAAACTTTTCCTAAGTCTTTTGGGTATTGCAGCACCAGAACCAGCTGGGAAGAGCTGTGGGTGTTCTGAGGCTGCAGGTGATGTTCTTTGATGAAATGCTAGTAACAGTCTAGGAAAAAAGCTGAGGTTTAGCATCTGCTCTAAATCTGACTGCAGACTCTTCTGTTCCTTGTAAGGTAAGCACGGATTGAGAAGTGTGGTGTAAATGCAGCTCCAGTGTCAGTGCCAGGACTGAATTGCCTTAGCCTGTTTTTCTCTATGGTGTCAATCTAAGCCTGCAATATATCCCTGGAATTCACCTTCCATTAACTTTTGACTCTTCTCAACAGTTGTATTTCCTTTACAGGAGTTTAACCCTTAATAGTTCATCCTAGTTTTTAATATTATCTCTTTTTTTCTTTTGTATTTTGTGTACTTGCCTCGTTTATTTTCTTTTGTTGTGTTTTGTTTTGTGTTTATGGCCATGTTCCCATTTCAGAGACCAATGTCCTCTAACTGATGAGCAATTGGTTTCAGGGTAAGAACAAACGTTCCAAACAATCACCTTTGTCTAGAATGGCTTTCTTTTCTCACCATCCTTTTAATTGTGCTTTGTTTCTGGTTTCTGTTTGACACCGAATGATGAGATAATTACATGCTAAATCACAGTGTCTGTAGGAAATGTATTGCTAAAAGTTCGTGCCAAGGATAATTACAAAGGTCCTACTAACATTTCTGTGCTTCCTGTAGGGAATCCAGGATGGGTGTGGTACTGTCCCTTCTGTGAGCTGGGAAAAGTTATGAGCCTCCAAGAACACGGAGTATAGCCTTGGCATTGTAGTTGTTCCAACCAGGAGCGCTAAAACAAATTGCTTTCTGATGAGCAATGACTTAAAAGGACAGATTAGTGAGTAAACTATTTAATCCTAGAGTAATGATGGAGAGCTCTTCAGAGACCTGGCTTTGAGCAGCTGTGCTGGTTGCTTGTTCTTAGTGCCCCACTAAGCTAAGGGACATGGAGGGAAAAGTGCTTAACTCTACTCAGGACCCCAGAAATGAAAACTGTGTCTCCAGTCCCTGCTTAACATAAATGTGCTCACCTAGATACTCAGATCCTGCTCTAAACTACTTCAAAGCATTGCTTTGAATCCCTGTGGCATATAAACAGTTATTATCATTTTTTTGGGAAAAAATGAATTCATGTTTAGGGGTATTTTTCCCCTTCCTTTTCCATCTGCTGTTGCTATGCTGAGCTCATGATAGGAGTGGTAGGATATTTTGGGCAAATCAAAGCTTTTGTTTATTGTGTTTACTTTCTGCCTGCTGAATTCCTTAGTACAGGAGACATTTGCTTCCCTCTGGAATTCACAATGCTCAGACTAATCTCATAAAGGGAGAAGGAACTGTTACTGCCCAACTGTGAAACCTAATCTGCTTCTAACAAACTCTTGGGCTCTGATAAGTCAGTATTTTTAGGTTATCTTAATATACCCCAGAGATTGGAAAATTAATATTAAAATATTTAAAGTAAAAGTGTTATTTTCTAAGATGAGATAATGGATTGAAATGATGGGAATAACATATCTGCTGTGCCTCAATCTCCCTTTTGTCCTGAGGCCTAAGAAATGGGAAAACCCAAACCAGCCAAACCAATAAATCTAGGCTGTCAGAGGAGGAGAATGAGGCTGAGTCCAGGTGACTCTTGGGAGAGCCTGTGGTGAGACCAGGTGCCTGTACCCATCAGGTAGCACCCAGGTAACCCCTCACAGGGTTATCTGTCCTGGGCATGTCATCTGGCTGCAGTTCCAGTGCTCTCCCACACCAAGAAGTCTCTACTAGTGAGAAGATACGGAGGACTTTCCAAAATCAACCTTTTTATCTCCTCCTCCCCACAGAGCTGCATACAAGGTAGCACAGACAGGGCTGTTGGTGTCCTGAGCTCTCCTGGGGAACTGCTGAGCTCTTACCTTTGGCACCACATTTATCTGTTAAAAGGTCTAATTCCCTGTTAAAGTCATCATAATGATCAGTTTTCCAGCTCCCAAGGTATCCTTTGCCAAAACTGGGGGAGGGCAGGGTAACATTTCTTTACCAGCAAGCTGACATTTTCTAGTTTGCCCTCCTTCTCCTTCACTCCCCAAAACATATGCTCCTTTTGGATCCATTGCTGTTCCCACTTTCCTGGCTCCATGATGAGCCTATTAACACACAGCTGAACAGGGTAGAAAGGGGGGACAAGCTCACTGCTGTCATGGTGACTTTTTTTCCCTATTTTAATGCCATCTCCAGGGGCTGTCAGTCCAGGTCCTGTTTGAGGACACTTTGCCCTTTCTTCACACTGTTCCTGTGCTGTGCAGCCCAGTGCAGTGGCTGAGAAGCCTGGGCTCAGTGACCCCAGGAGCCTCTGGCTAGTTTCCCCATCTTTCTGCTTGCCCTTAGCTTGGAGTTTGGAGCAGAGCAGTCAGGGATTTGGAAGTCTGTATGCAGCTACTCCTTCCATAAACCAGGCATAAGCAGTGTGCTGTGGTCAGGATGATCTGTGTGTACAGACACCAGGGGCTTTGAGAGTTTGTAAAGCCCCTCCATGGTCCTTCATCATCAGTACTTGTAGGTCTAAGAAAAGAAATACCCCCTGGGTCCCACAAAAGACCTGTCTGTCTGCATTTGTCTTAATTTCTGTGGTACTCCCTAACTCAGAGAGAAGCAGGAATAAGGTACATTAATTCCTTCTCTGGGCATTGAGGGCTGACTCGTGGCCAAGAGATAAGGTGAGCGCAGCACACACCCACGCCTGCCCTCTTCTCCCAGTGATACTGGGTTATCTGGGATCCCTGCCTGCTGGAGGGGGATGGTCTGACAGGGACACACAGCTCTGTATGTAAATACAGAAAATGAAATAAACATTTTCATTCTTAAGAAACCATTCCCATCAGAAACTGGTTTGAAATTCATTTGGTTAAATGGGAACCTCTGGGAAATCAGATGAGGGAAGAACTTGGGAATAACAAGCTTTGCACTGCCCCTATTCTAGAGCAATGAGTTTACTCCTGCAGCTGAGGTTCTCTTCCCTGTGGATTTGAGCTTCACTGTCTCAAGGGACACGCTGGGGAAAACAAATGTTTGTAGAGACCAGAGCAATGATGCAAGGCCATTGGGAAGAGCAGTTGCAGAATTCCTGCCATGTTACGCTGGATTCTCACCCACTTTTGTAGCAGTAGCTGTCTCTTACAGAGCACACTCTTTGTAGATACTTGCCCTCCATCTGCAGCTGCCTTCTTCCCACCACCAGTCCAGAGCAATTCAGTAGCACCACAGTCAGTGTGGGGAAGGGCCTGCCCTGTCAGGAATTTGGTTTATCAAGTGAGCCCAGCTTGGGCCAGGCAGCCCTGGAAGGTGCTGGTGGTCTGCTGACTATGAGTTGAGACCTGTGAAGTGAGGAGCTTTGAATCTCACTGATTTGGGAAAGGAAGGACAGGCATTGGCTGTATCTTTCTTCTGATTGAATCAGCTCTTTCTTGCCTTCCCCTCTGCCATACTGGGTGGCTTAAAGATCTCTGTTGTGCTTGAGTGACAGGCTGTGTCCATATGTAGTTGCTTAGTAAGTTCATTAACCTGCAGCTAAATCCAGGCAATGGCTAACTCCAGCTGTTTTTATATTTAAGCCAACTGCATCTAATCTTTCCAATGTATTTTGCTGAGCATGTAATTAAATAAGCATGACCCTGCAGTCTTTGTTGTGAATGCTTCCTGTTTTATAATTGTGATGATCTGAGAGATGTAATTTAGGGGTCCTTAATTGTACATAATTGGTGGTACTACAGGTACAGCAATTTAGTCACAACTTGCAGCACCTTAAAAGCTTCCGACTTCAATGTATCTGTATTTGGAGGAATATTCTGGGGGGATGCTGTTGGCAAAGTGTAATAACTTCTCTTTCTGCTCTTCAAGGTTCTCGGATGTCATCCTGGCAACAATTTTGGCTACCAAGTCAGATATGTGTGGCAAAAAGTTTGAACTGAAGATTGATAACGTTCGCTTCGTTGGCCATCCCACATTGCTGCAGCATGCCCTGGGGCAGGTACGGTGTGAGGGCTCTGTGGGGACCTGTCTTCTCCACAGAATCCTGGTTTTAGTGAGGAAAATTGGGATTCAGAACATGTGTGGTGGCTTTTGATCCTGGTTTAATTCCTGACGCTCAAAGCTGGCCAGAGAAATAGAGAGTGGCAAACTGAAGGAGCTGTGTCAGTGATTACAGAAACCCTCTTTGGTTACTGTAGCGGATCAATGTGGGTAAAGAGAAGGAATACTAAGCAGTCCAGCTCAGAAAGCTGTTCCTCACTATTTTAGGTACCACAAGTTAGCTTTTTAGCACCTCTAATTAGTATGGCAATTAAAAAACACCAGCCAAAACCTTTTCAAATGCTAAAAGCTACGTCAGCCTTGTTTGGCTTTTAACTTCCTGGTGCTGAAGATGATCCACAAGATGGAATGTGTAGGATGCTGACAGAGGTCTAAAATCCTCTTGTGGACCAAGTCAGGCTGCTGCTTTATTGAGACCTTCCTCCATGGCCTGTGTTGTAGCTGCTTGGAATGAAAGCAGTTTGCCACCTTGGCTATGGGAACGGTCCTGATTAAATCCCTGATTAAATCTAGGAAAGAATTCACATACTTCTGTGTGCAAGACATTCCCTGTCCCATTCCTTCTGCCTGATTGACTGTAAGAATGAGCTAGGCTTTAGTAATTTCTGAATCCCACACTGATTTCTGTCACTGAGCTGCTTTGGTCTCATTTTTCATCAAATTTGCTAAGTCATTCTTTTTTTCAGGAAAAAAAATCTGCTTGCCAATTTTGTTATGCTTTCTAGCTATAATTAGAGGTGGAAACAGATTGTTGGTAACTGTTGCTTGATATTTAGAGGACCAGACTGCTTTAATCCCAGTGAGGAGCTGACCTCAAGCATCAAAAGATGCTAATGTTCCACTTTGGGAACTCAGTCATGACTGAGGCTACAGGAAATGTGATGGAGCATCACCAGAACTTAGTCCTGAAAAGTTTAAACTGTCTTGGAATGCAGAATTCAAGAGTACCCAAGCTGTGCAAGTCTGTCAGCAGCCCCAGACAAGGCAAGGGATGGACCAGGCCCAGGGTCTGTACAGCGACCCCAGCCAGGAGCAGGAGGAGGCAGGACCAGAGACAGGGCTGGAGGACAAGGGTGTGATGTAGTTAACCAAGGGTCCACCCAAGAGACAGGCTATGTACAAAGTAGATCCAAGGTCCATCCACGAGTCAGGCACACCTCCAGGGCCTGAACTGAGCTTAAATAGGGTTCTCAGGTCATGGACTGGTGGTGTGTGTGGGGCCCCAGCTCAGGCTGGGCAGGGCCATTAAGATCTTCTGATGCCCTCAAGGCCCTGACGGCAGTGACCTGTTCTCCCTCAGATCGGTTTTACTTCACTGATCTTGTCCAAAAGGCCCAACTTCCTAAATGTGGTGTAAATGTGCTTGAAAGTTTGCATTTGCATTTTTTAACCACATGTTATTCTCCATTGCCTGCACTTCCCAGTCAGTTTTATCCCAGTTGCATTAAATGTCACTTCATTTCAATTTGTCTAAATAAAATTGCATTTGGGTAAATAAAGTTATGAAGTGGTGTAAACACTTTTTCTGGATACTTCTTGTAGGATCTTCTTGTTGGGTGTGTCTTATCACCCCTGGAGGCACCCCAGAACTTTCCAGAACCTTCTAGAAGTGGCAGTCATCTCTGCTAGCTCATTGCAGCCTAAATCTGGGACCCTCCTGCACTCAGGAGGAAGTTAGATGGAGCTCCTTTCCCATGGAGCAAAGGCAGTGACCTGGCAGCCTCTGCTTTGGGTTTCCTCAGAGTTCATGCTGCAGTAAATTAAACCATGGGACAGCTCAGCAAATTCTTACTCAGATGAGATTCAGGAGTTACAGGAGCACAGAGATTTAATCCCATGTCGCCGACTGCCTTTTATGTAGCAATGTTCTGAATTCCTCAAATTCCTTCAGCAGTTTCTTTTCCAGCTTAGTCTCCTTCTGTTCTTCTGGACAAGAGTTGAAAGGAAATCTAGCCTGCATCCCAACTGGTGTTAGTGGTGGTAGTTTCTTTGATTTTTCAGGAAGGAACAGGATCAGTCCCTACTCCTGAAAATGCTTTTGGCTGTTTATTGAAGTACACAAGACATCCTGGAACCTGTAACTCCAGAACAAATAAGCACAGTAAAGAGGCTTTACCACCCTCCCGTCACTGCCTTTTAATAGAACATCAATTCCACTTTAGAAAAAACCAAAAATATATATTGCTTCTTCTAGTTTCTCTGATTTTTAAGACTCCTGAGAGAAAGTTCCTCAGAGGGATGAGGTGGGTGCTCGGCCGGGAGCTCGGGGAGTTGCAGGAATGTCCTCTGCTTTGTGTGCTCCATCTTGTGGCGACACTTGCTCCATCCAGAGTTGTCGGTCTGGATGTGCGAATTCCACTTGCTTTTCTTGGCTCCCACTGTTCCCCCTCACCAGAAAGGCTGTGCCTACACTAGGCATGGAGCTCTCTGCTGCAGAGAGAATAGGGGGCTGGAGACTGGGTTTGAAATCCTGCAGGAAGGGAAAATCAAGCCTTTTATTTTAGTACTGCAGCTTTGGAGCGTATTTCTTCCTGATAAAAGCAACAGTTTGTACACAACACAATCCAAATGGGGATTTTAGGAAAGGAAAGAATGGGTGTGGTTGGGGCAAGAAATCTATGGGCTTCTGTGTAGTTGACAATATCTGACAGTTGTGCTAAGGAATTTAAACCTAAAGTCCCTAATGATGCTAAAATGCAACAGTGAGGACACATGTAAGTTTGCAGTCTTAACTGTTGCTTATTTCCATGGTCATGACCAAAATGCTTTGGTTAAAGTTTTCACAGCTTCTGAGTGCTGCAGAGTAACTGTGAGCCTAATAAAAACACAGATCATAGTTTTGTTTTTTGCAAGTCAAATTTGATGGTATGATTTGATTTGTCTGCTCTTTGTTTCTCATCAGACTTGTTATTTGCCTGAGGCTTTTCTTTTTTACTATTATTTTCCCTGTGTTACTGGCTCCAGCTGACACTAGCACATGGAAATTGTAAAAAAATATTTTTCAGGTGTCCAAGACTGATCCCTCCCCCAAGAGAGAGATGCCCACTATGATTCTCTTCAATGTGGTGTTTGCACTGAGGGTAAGGACTGTCTTCATTCCATCTGACAGTGGGATGTGCTTCAGATGTCTAGGAGAATGCACTAGGCTCTCATTCCAGTAATCTCTTGTAAAACATTCAGTTTCTGATTTTATTGGGATATTTCAATTTGAAGCAACAAACCTTAACATGTAAAATATGACACTGACAATGGGAAAGTCTTCCAGCCCAGTGGAAAACAAGTACAGTTGTTTGCTTCAGGGCATTTTCCAGAACTTTTGGTTTTAAATACCCAGAGTGTAAAGGCATGCAAGAAACTCCTTTGCAAAGCAGATATGAACCTGCTACTAGTGCTGTGTGTGTCTTGGCTTGTTTGTGTGTTAGGACCACATCCACACAGCTTCCCTGGGAGGGTGCTGAGCCCCTGTGACTCCATGCAGGTCAGACCTTGGGGCCAGTTCTGCTCCAGATGCAGTGGCAGTGTGGGCAGTGGCTTTGCTTGACCAGCCTGAAGGGTCAGTCCCACACCATGGCCTTGTGCAGCCCAAGCTTGCTCTGTGCAGAGTCAGAAACCTACTCTGGCTGCTGTCAGCACTGTTTTGAGCCTTTGCTTGTGCTGTAGGACACAGACACGTGTCTTTGCTCAGTGCCTCCAGGCTCATGTTACCGCAAAATGGACAGTGTTTGATTGCTGCCTGTGCTGAGCGGTGACATCACTGCAAAGGAGAGTGCTAGGGAGCAGTGGCTGAATGAGGAGAAGGTACAACTGAGAAATAAGTAGGTTTCAATGCTCAGCAAAAACCTGGAACAAATGTTTCTGCTTGGAGTTTTTTTTCAGGCCTACCCTGTTGACTAGATGCCAGTGTAAAGACATCTTGGCTTGGCTAATTAGGTGGTAGTGTAAAACCCTAGAAATTTCATGATGTTGGCACATTATTTGATTTCTGAGCTTTCTCTCCCCAGCCCACAGGTTGTTGAAAAATAAAAGAGAGAGCTGGAATAGCTATCTTTCTAGAAATGGTTGATTTTTCTCAGCTGAATAATGTCATGATTTAAAAGCCTCCAGTTCCCTGCTTGTGAAATGACCTTGGGTTTTTTCAATTTTGGTATTAATACTTTTATTCCCACTGGCTTTCCAGCAGTGACTAACATGGACATGGCCCCAGTCTGGCTGACTTGTCCTTAGCTGAGGAGCAAGGCAATTATCCCAGCAGTCAGTCTGAATCAAGCAAGAAATGGTTCACTCAGCTCTGCTGGGGATCCAGTGATCCTATGCTTTGGGACACTCTTAGGCCAGAAGGGCTGAATCCACAACACAGGAGTTGATTTTAGGTTTCACACATTAAGAGACGTTGGTTTGGTGTGTGGCTGGAGCACTGTGCTTTGATTGTAGGGAAGTGCCTGTAGATGCACGTGCAGACACATCCATGCATATGAATGGCAGCAGAAGGGTTGAAACCAATGCTCTTTCATTCACAAGAGCTTGGTGAAATGCAGTGAGGACTGTATCTAGCTCACATTTTTCTAGAATCTAATTTCCAGTGGTTCTAGGAAGAGTTGCTTTTTTGCCCTTCAGCTGTGTGATGATACTGATGTAACCGTGTGTGATACAGCACTAAATCCATTTGCCAAATGAGGCACTCTTAGGTCACAGAGAGCTGTCAAGTTTCTGAAAAGTGCTGTGCAAGAAGCAAGTGGAATTTTTTTCCTAGCATGGAGTGGAGCAGCACAGGGGGTGGGTGGAGGCCCTCTGAGATAAAGATGAGTGTCCATCTGCAGTGGGCAGACAGAGCAGGCAAAGGCCCAAGTGCTATAATCAGCACTGAGCCTGCTGTGTCTGAGCTTCAGGGTTACCAACGTGTCATGACTCAGCAAGAACAGCAGAGTAAAAAATGATGAGTCATGATTAGCTAGTTTACATGCCAAGTGATGACTTGCCAGAAGTTTAAATTCCTTTAAATGTTTTAGCAAACATGAAGCAGCTGCTGACTCATGCTGAAGCCACTGAGACCCTCCACTCCCCCTTGGCAGCTGTACTTACCTGATAGATTTTTCCAGCACTTTCTGGCACTTGCACAACTGCAGTATTAATAATCAGCCATATTTGTGGAATGTCTGGGAGCATAAATCCCAAATTCTGGTTTGGGATGAAATCATTGGTCATGTGCAGGTAATTCTTACCTAATTCCTGCATTGTCAGGACACAGGACAAACATCAGTGCAGCAACATGGAGTGAGTTGGCCATGTTAAAGGCCCTGCAGTGTTCCCATGAGTTAAAGCTGAACAGTGGCATATTCTGCCTTGTCAAATGGCACTTTCTTTTCTCCCTGTGAAATTGAGTTCTTTGCTAGTAGGAGGCCCATTAACCAGGAGTATCACCCTCCAGATGCTGTGTTCATTTGATGCATATAGACAAGCTTAGAAATCCCCGAGTTGTCCCTTAACCTTTGGGCATCTTTGAGCTTCTGTTTGGTTGCTGCTGGAGAAAATTCCTTTTTTTTGCTTTTGCCAGTTGCCAAAGAAAACAACTATTGGTATCAACTGAAGATGATTATTTTGACTCCTTATCCATCACTGTAGTTCCTCCTGTGTGACAGGGGCTCAGTGACTGACCTGTTTGTGCCCTGTGTTGCCTTCAGGCCAATGCTGACCCATCTGTGATCAACTGCCTGCACAACCTGTCCCGAAGGATCGCCATCGTCCTGCAGCTGCCAGCACCTCACCAGGGAGGCCAAGCTCATCTTGGCTATTCAGGATGAAGTGTCTGCCATGTCAGAGAGTGAGTCCTGGGCTGAGCTGTGAGCAGCAATGTGTTTGTCCAGGAGCACTTTTTCAGGGAAGTCCTGATTGTGCCCTCTTTACTTCTGTGGCTGGGATCAGTATGGACATGTTTCAGTACTCTTTAGCATGCTGACATCTTTTGACTGCATTTGGTCTCATCCAAGATCACTATCCCTATGCAGACATGAGCCTTAGGAGTGAAGTAGCTACTTTACTTTCTGTGCTAGCTCAGTTCAGCACAATCCCTGGAGAATCCCTAAGCCATCACGTTTGGATCTGCCTGTCAGACTGAGGTGGAAGGGCTCACATGTAGCTGCTTCACCCAACCTAGAGCAAGTTTTCCATGCTTTAGTGCTGTGTGCTGAGTCACCACAGTGCTCATGTGGGAGCTTTACTCTTGCATGTTGTTACCACAAGTCGTTACAGAGCATTTTTATAGACTGTACTTCAGGAAAATTTAATATATGCAGTATTTAAGGTGAACACTGTGTGACAGTGATGCATTGTCTCGCTGCAAGCATTGCAAATTAAAACTAACATCTATAAACCCAAAACATTTTAAATCCTCACCTGTCAAATTCACAGTTATATGTGCCTAACAGAGTTGAGGTTTAGGAAAAGTTGGCAATAGTTCACTATTATTATTTTAACATGTAACTTGAGTTATTGTAAAAACTTTAAAAGATAATTATAGATTAAAAAGATAGGAATTCGGTCCCTAAGATACTGGTTGATACCCAGTGGGGGAAGAGGAAACTCTCTTTGCTTTGAAATCAGTTGTCTGCCTTCTTGTTTTGAAATTTTCCATAGCCACAGAAGGGCCACAGTCACCTTTTCATCACATCCTACCCAAATGCAAACTGGCCAGAGATCTCAAAGAGACATATGACAGGTAAGTTAGATTTTATTCCTGGCTCACAGTGTGCTGCTTCTCACTGAAACCTCTTGGCTTTGTTCCTTAGGGTATTATCCACCTCCTCATGCCCTTACTCATTGGGATTTGGGTTTTATACCAGGCTGAGCAATGTGAAGTTTAGCAGTCAGGTGAAATGTCTGCAGAACTGCTATGCTAATCATTACCTTGGTCTGTTTGATATGTTGTGCTGCTTAGAAGTTGGCAATGTCTGTCACAGCTTTAAGAAGTATTATTTTCTTAGCATAGAGGCACATAATGACAAGGGAATTGAACAATTGAAAAGTGTCATAATATGGATATCATGTCACTGTAGAAGTGCTCTAAACCTGCAGCTGAGGGAAAAGTGCTGCATGTAGCACTGATGGCAAGTCAGATATTGCCCTGGCTTCATTTGGTTACACTGTGCATGTCTGGACAGCGAATTTGGATTAGATGCTGAGACTTCCAGCAGAATGGAAAGTGTAACATGCTGTTTCTTGACTGCATTAGAAGTTCTGGCAAAGATTTCAAAGGAGTGTGGAGTTAGTGTTGAACTTGAGCAGGAGCTGGGCCCCAGCCTTCGGCCTCCTGTGGCGTCTGGCTGCTCTGCCAGCCTGTCAGTGCTCCCGGGGAACAGAGGCACCTCAGTCTGTGCTTGGGAAAGGGGCACAGAAGGCTTTGGTGGGGAGGAAGATGCTGTGCCCCTTGACTGGGGTATTTGTCAGGGGTTTGGAGAATTAGGCTGGAGGTGCTCGATTGACTGTAGGCCATGTTAGACAAACCCTTTAGCCTCCCTGGGTTGTGGATCCCCCCGTACAAAGGGGATCATCACAAAGCCCTGTAAGGTAAGGGACTGGGAGCCTCAATGATTTAATGATTGCAAAGAACACCAGAGCTGTGAATTTCAGCTTGCTTGAAGGAACGTGGTATAATTGTTCCATACAACTCACACAAAACCTGGACTAAAGTTTAAAATAAAGCACTTTTTATGTAGTCTGTAATTCTAATATTAAACTTACATTCTTCTGTTGCTCTAGGGTTGTGTATGACTGGGCAAATCTGATCGTGTTTCCAAACATTTTAGGGACACAGTGACATCTTGTGGCATTTAGCTGTGACTGGAGCAACACAGAGCCCGAGCTTATGGAGTGTGCTGGTGTGACCCTTCCATGAGATCAGGAGGAATAGACTGACCACGGAGAAACACACTTTGGTACTGCCCCCAGATGTCAAATCAGGGAGTTCCTCCCTCATTTAGGCATTGTGAGTGGGGGAGAAGTGGTGCCAGTTAGATTTTGACTTTTTTTTCAATGACATTGTCATAAGCAAATATAAGAAATAAGGTGTTGGTAGAAATATAAAGTGTCCGTGCTGTTGATTGGAAAGCTGCATTCAAAGAGTTGCTCACAGTCACTGGCTGGGTGATGAGGTGATGTTCTGCAGTGGTTTCCCATTAATTCTTCACATGAGAGCATAGGGAATAGGATTGTTACACCTGCATCAGATCAACTGAGAGGAGCTACAGCACCTTGCCAGGCAGGCATAGAGTTAAAATTATTTTTTGTAAGGCAGAGGAAGTGGGCTAGAAATAGGATTTTTATTCTGCTAGTCCAAGATGAATTAATTATTCCTGTGTGGCAGCAGCTCTGGAGTGAAGTCTGTGTGGTCTTCTGTGAAATGAGGGTGACTCATAACTGACATGGGGTTACAGAAAAGCAGATAGACAAGAGTGCATAAAATAAAAGCCTTGTCTGTAAGACAGGAACCAATCCTGCTCAGGATGGTAAAGCCCCTGCTGTAATGAATATTTTATCCAGTTTTGGACACCACTTTTCAAGAGGGATTTGGGCCACCTAGAGAGTGTGGAGGAGTGAGAATGACCTCAGAGGAAAGATGGAAAGATTTGGTCTGTTGCTTTTAGAGGAGAAAGGACTGCTGGGAAGGGTAAGTTTTCAAATGCCTGCAGTGGCAATGTTCAGATTTGCAGAGACTTTGGCATAGCCTTTGACTGTGGGAGAACAGCTAGTGAGGTGGAGAGAGCACTTTGAATTGCAGATGGAGCCCAGCTTCCCATCCAGGGTTTGCTCAGCATTCCCTAGTGCCTGCAGTTCCACCTGAATTTCCAGGGTTGCTCCAGAGATGCTGTCTAGCCCCTGGTTTCCTGTAGATGGTGCTGAGGTATTTCAGGCAACACTCAACATGTTCTGAACAACTTGGTTTGTGTAAAACCACAAGTGTGTGAATCTCTTATCGCTCAGGATGCTCTTTGTGCCTGCTCTGTAAGGCAGTGCCCCTGGCCAGGGCATCTTGGCTGTAACACCACTGCTGCTGCAGAAGTGGAATGTGACTAAACTGACAGCCTGGAGGTAACACCTAGTTCCTGGAACCTTTTTCAGCTCTAATGAAGAGAACTAGAATGTTTCTTTTTGTTCAGAAACATGGGAGTCTTCTTTCATCTTGTCCCCAAACTCCAGCGTTGGTGTGGAACAGAAAGCAATGGCTTTAGGCCCAAGAAAGTCCATTTGCCAGTACCTCCAGTGCTGAAAAACTTGCCATATGTGTCCCTTTTAAGCCAGTGTTAAATTTAGCAAATTAAGACAGCTTTCACCAAATTTTATCTGCAACTGCAGAGAAAATGTGAGCTTGACACTAGCTAACTGCCTGCCTGAGTTTTAGCACACTTCTCTTAGCTTTGTATGAGGAGTTTTTTGGGTTGGTTATTTCTTCTTAATACACAAAGAGCCTTTATATGTTTTTAGCCTGGTGGAATTTGAACTGGTTGGTAGATCTTGCCTATCTCAGCAGCTCATGGAGAATTAGAACAATTATATGAGATTTAATGAACTATTAGCTGTGATTTGTGTGCCTGTACTGTAAAATATAAACCAAGTGCAGTTATTTGATCAAAGGACAAGCCACGTGTCCTGTGTAAGGAAATGTGAAATCATTTCAAAGCCCTAAGAAGTCACAACCTCTAGGAAAAACAAACTCCAAAGCTACCAGCTCACCTCCACCAAACCAGAAAACATATTGTTGATTTCTGATAGACATAAAACGAGGTGTGTGTTTGTAAAAATTCATACCTCTGTTACAAACACGAAGTGGTGCCAATAGTTCTGAAAAAGAAGGCTCAGCTCTGTGAGATACTGTCCAGCATTTGGGCTCCTGTTTCGGGGCAGTAGCTCACAGCTGCTGTTCAGGGCACAGCAGAATAGAGCAAAAGAGCTGTGATATTCCCCAAAATATTCCCCAGCTTCCTGCAGCTCTGGAGGTGGTTTCTGTCTATTCAGCAGCTTCAGCTGATCTCCCTGACCGGAATTTAGTCCACAATCCTGTGAGCCAGAGTAAATATTTAACCACCACAGCATCCTCTGATAAGGAGCTCCATGGCTTAACTAGTTTCTGTGTTTCTTTCTGTTTCTTCTGTAATTTGCTCCTCGTGTGTATCATGACATGTCTTGTGGGTCTTATGATGGAGAGACATTAAACAGCTTTTTCCTATTTGCTTCTCCCTATCTCAGTTCTAGACTGTGATATCCCCTCTCAATGTCCTAATCCTTCCCCATGTATCCCTCACCTCAGTATGGCTCATCAGGTATTATCTAATCAGAGATTAAAAAAAAAAGTGTTGAAATAGCTTTCATGGGATAAAATGGAATGTCTTTGAAGGTTTAATAGCCAGATAGAGATGGGGAATGAAGCTATTTTTGCCCAGTTACTCTTAAATTCTGTGGGGGAAAAAGGCAAAGTTGCAGCAAGGTCTCTGGATAACAGTTAACTGATAGAACAGCAGGCAAAAATCAGTATAGATAGATGTAAAATAATGCATGTCAGGCCAAACAACACTTACGTAGTCCATAATGCTCTGAAAAGAGCTGTTGGAATTCCAGCAGATAGCTCAGTGAAATGTCAACTCAGTGGAAAAAGCTCAGGGGGAGAAATGCTGTAAAAAATCCCCATAAGATGTGAGAAGTAGTTAAGAAAGGAGCAAAGACTAAACAAGAGCCTTCTGTAAATTCCTGGTGTACTTACTGTACCTCAGAACCTCTGTGTCCCTCTGGGTTTCCTGGCAGGAGCTACATAAACTGTGTCCTGGAGGTTCATGGTGTACAGTGCTCTCACCTTCCCACAGTCCTGCATCTTCCTGGACTGTTTGCTCCACAGTTTGAGCTGGTTGGGAAGGAGAAAGCAGAACTAGAGCCAGGTGACTTCCCATTCCAGGACTTGACTGTACATCCTGGTGCATGAACCTTTGTGTCTGTCTTGGTGACATTATTTAGCTCTGCCTGGCTGAGGGCAGTCACACAGGTTGGTGCTGGAGGGTGTAGCTTATTCCTTGTCAAATTATTGGACACTTAAATTATTTTCCATCCAAGGAGGGGAAGAGATTGTGTACATTCATGTGCACAAAGCTATAATGAAGGCTGGAAATTGTACAGTTGAATGCAAATGCAGAAAAATGAAATTAAGATCCAGGTCAGAACTGAAAATCTGATATTCTTGTTGTCTTTAATTCCAGGCTCTTGTTGTATAGTGCACTGTAGACAAAATTACACTGTGGAGAGTGTAATTATGTAATTAAAGCTTCTGCCTTGGTGCACTTGGACCAAAGAGTGAAAGGAACCAAAGAGATTTTTTTTTCTGTTTTCTGAATGTTCAACTATGCAGGGAAAATCTCCCTGCAAGTGTTTCATGTTTTCACATATCCCTGCTGCTTTTGGCTAACCTGTTTTAACACCCCACCAGCTTTCAGGTGGCTTCTTGAATCGCTTGTCCCAATCATTTATTGTCATGTTTTCTCTTGTGAGGATTTGGCCCAAGAGTTAGTACAGATAACTACAGCTTCAGCATGCTCTTTTCCTTGATGTATCCTGAGGGAATCCAGCTTTATCTGTCAGTTGGTGAATGTCTGGCGGGATAAGTAGTGGTAGGAAAAACAGAGGTGTTTGTGCTTTGCATGTTCCTTCAGGGTTTGGAGCCTCTGAGCAGATGAGAGGTGGTGGGGCCAGAGAGGCAGTGGATTCATCCTTTCAGTTCCTTGTCAAAAAAGACAAGCACATACAGTATCTGCTCCAGTTGCAGCTTGAAAAATCAGTATTTTTCTGAGTTGCAAGATGTGAGAACAAAACCATGGCCTCAGCTTTTGAGAAGTATTGTCTGCAGTGAGATTTTCCCTAATGAGTCTGATCATGCATGAGCAGGAGGGGATGGTGTTTGCTCCCTCACCACTCTGTTGTGGTTTGGTGAGTAGTTACACTGGCAGCCAATGCTGCCCAATGTTTTTGTTTAAAGCTGAATTTTCAGGTCTCTCTAAACCCTGTACACAGCCAGATGAACTTGAAAAAGAGCATGTTAGTTTGTGGCCTGCAACTGAATGCTGCATATAAATGGTTAAATCACCACATAAAGAGTTTCCAAGATGTATATTTGCTCCTGGCCTGTTCCTGGCATGTTTTTTAATCTATTTTGTGTAGAGGGGAAATTCATGGATGTTAATGACACACAAAGTCGTATTGCAAATCTCAACACACTTGAATTTAAAATTCAGGCTGGGATTTTCAGAGTGCAAACCTTGAAATGTTAAAAAAAAACCCCTTCTTTTGGAAGAAAGTTTACAATCAAAGGATGTGTGGAGAAATTGAGTTCTCTGGTGTAGACAAGATTAGAGAAGAGATGTGGTGGGCCTGAGTGCTTCCCCCCTGCGCAGTCCCCAGCCCAGCTCTCCCTGCCCATGGGCTGGGCAGTGGTGGGAGGGTTTGCAGAGTGCTGCTGGCTCTGCTCCTTATGGCACATTACCCATTTTCAGTACAGATAGTTCCCTACCGAGGTATATTCCATCTCTTCTCCAGATTTACAGACTTCTCTAAAACCACCTGAGTGATGTTCACGGCTCTAATCTGCAGCTTTCTGGGATTTTTCAGTAAAAGAGGCTTATCATTGCTTACAGGCTGAACGTGGGGGTCAGACTTTATTGTCATTCCAGAGATGTCCATCATTTCCACTCCAGTCCCGTGTCTGGAGTCAGCTTAAGGGCTTAGCTTAGTCCCTGTGGTTTCCTAGAATGAAGAAACCATTTAACAAGCACATTTGTGATTTCATGTGACAAGCAGGAACAGGTTAGCAAGAAACAAACAACCTAAGCAGAACCAAAGGAGGTTGTTTTGTGGAAACATGCCACTTGTAACAGCCATTCCAGTACAGATGTCTCCTTTCTCCTTGGAGAGGAAGATGGAAATTGGAGACAAAAACATGCCCAGTTCATCTTTGCCCTTTGCAGCTCTGATCTAGGGAATTTTCCTTTGCCTTGCAGTAGATCTTCAAGAAACTCTTTTAACTTGAGACACTGCTGCAATGTTAAGAGCAGAGGGAGCAGATGATAGGTGGGGTGAAATCTTTTAGCTCTCCCCCAAAACCCTGTAGAGGATGATGCTCTGGAAGCACAAGTAAGGAAGCCCTTGGAGTTGGGAAGCAGCTGGTCCTCAGCCAGCCTGGGGATAGACAGGGTGCATTCAAGCTTTTCCTGTGCTCCAGTTCCTGTGCAGGGCTGGACCACTGTTTGCTTTTGTTACACATGGTAAATGCTGTATGTGTTACTTTTCTTATTTCAGCCTTTGCACCACAGGGGTGGTTCGTTTACACATCAACAACTGGCTGGAAGTGAGTTTCTGTCTGCCTCATAAAATCCATTACGTTGCCACCAACTTCATACCCCCAGAAGCAATTGAGAGAAGTCTGAAATCTATTAGGTAAGAGCAAGCTCTGTCCTTCCTCCAGTTCCAGGGGTGATGCTGCAAACAACTGGGGGACACAGCTGTGGGGATGGTGTGGCTGAGCTGCAGTGGTGGGGGCACATGGGCTGGGATGGGGCTCCCTGAAGCTGATGCTGTGGCACCAGTGGTGCTGCTGTCTGCCTGGTGGAGTGAGCCACAGTCTTTGCCTTAATGGCTGTACTGAGGTGATGCTGCAAGAGAGGTCTGCACTGTTTGCAGTCAGGAATTGTGTGTTCATTTTCATCTGTTGACCCAGAAGTAATTCTGCTTTTAGAAGAAAGAGAGCCCTGCCATGCCTTCCTTCCTGTATTCCACATTTGCAGCTTTTTACCTGCAAAAGTGACTAGCTCTTTCTTTCTTCTACTCCATTCTGTATATCAGTAATGCAGATGAGCATTTCCAGACTAGCCCTCCAGGCTTCATTGAGTGCCAGCACAGTGCAGGCTCTTTTTCCTTGTCACTGGGGTATCCAGTTACCGTGTAACCCTCTATTCTCTTTTAATAGGGAACATCTTACCCTGTGACATAAAAATAAGCTTATTCTGAACCCAGTTAGAGCAAAAGGATGATTTTAGAAGTTCTTTTCCACTAGTAGATTGACCCCAGGTGTCGTGGTGTGGGAATAAGTAAGCCTTCAGGAAAAGCTGCAGTTTACTGTGCAAATGTATTCTATTTTTCTGCAGGCCTTACCATGCCTTATTACTTTTAAATGATGAGAAGTCATTGCTTAATGAGCTCCCGTTGGACTGCTCTCCTGCCCTGGTGAGAGTAATTAAAACTACCTCTGCTGTGAAGAATTTGCAGCAACTGGCTCAAGATGCTGACTTGGCACTGCTGCAGGTACAGGGAGCTGTCAGGGGCTGCTGAAAGCCTTTTAAATCATGAAGTGTTCTCTTCTGTGTGCCAGTGGGTTTGTGTGGGGCATGAGCACGTCAGCTCCCTGGGTGTGAGCAGGGTGCACAGAGAAGACACAAGCCTGGGAGCATGGGGGAGGCTGGAGGAAAAAGGACAGAGGAGCAGTGACAGTGCTCAGCAGTCCTACAGCCACATCAAACCACAGATTGCATGGGGATCTCTAGTCCCCTCCACTGCTTAGAGCAAGCTCATTAAAACAGGCTGATCAGAAACTTGTCTGTTCAAATTGTGAGTACCTCCAGGGCCACCTCCCACGGTCTATCTGGTCCAGCATTTGACCAGCATCAGAGTGATAAACTTGCCTCATATCTAATGGGAATTTCTGCATGCAAATGGAGGCACCCAAAATGCAAGTGAAAGCTTACAGCTGCCATGGCCAAATACATTGCTTCTCCTGGACCTGACAAGATCTTTTCTACCAAAGACTTCTGAAGGCCTGTGCAAACCTACCCATTGTTTTCACTTAGTACATTAGTGTCTCGACTTTGCAGAGTCCCAGGAAGGAGCTCTAGTTTAGACTTGGGCAAAAATTTTGAGCCAGTCTCTCTAAGCCAGCAGCTCCTTCCAAATGCTTTTCCAGTAGTGACAACCAGATCTCAAATCTGAATTGCTGGAGGTGATGTGATGAGCCCTTGGAGAGGAAAGTTTGTGCCAGTGCAGGGAATGGGACTCCAGCACTCACAAGAGGCCACTGAGACACCGCTGTGGGTGACTGTGGTCATTAGGGATGAGATGTTCAGAGGGGAAAGCCACTCCATGGGTTAATTCAGGCCCAGGGGCACAATCTGTGCTCTGTGTGACAGGGGAGAAGAACATGGCTTGTCATCACACGTGCTCCTGGTCAAAGGTCTGTGCCTTCTCTCATTCCAAGGGAAAGGTCCTGCTTTGTAATAAAATTTCCAGGTCTGCCTGCAGTGCTCTGTGGTGTTACTTGGCATAACATAGCTTTGGGATGCACTCTGGAAATTCCCTACTGCTTCTGTAGTTCTGTTCTCCACAAAAAAGCACAGTTAAATGCATCTAATGATACAGGCTGGATTTTATGTCTCGTAGACACTATTTATGTGGCTTTTCCAGAGCCATTAGCAACCACTGACTTGTTTAACACATTAAAAGACTTTGTGTAGCTCATTACTGAAATACCTCAGTGCAGTAAAAAGGCAATGTTGGCTTCCTTTATGTTTGTGTCACAGTAGAGGCTGATTCTTTTGTTTTATTTTTCATGTATAACACTTAATGCATTTTGTGCATAAACAAAAACAGTTTTTTGAGGGCATGAAAAGCACCTAAACTTCAGTTGATACAGTCTGAAGAAATTCCTTTGAGGCAGGAAATACTAAGTTGCTTAGAAATGTGAAGCAAATCTCTGGAAATTCATAACCTTGTCAAATGCTTTTTTGATGTGCCACATGTCGTGTTAAAGCGTGAATTTATTCTGAAGGCAGGCTGAAAGCACGGAACATTTCTCTCTCATTTCAGCTCAAACAAGCCTTCTCTGTCATTGTGTGGAACCCTTGCTGAGAGTTTGAGTCTTGCTTTTGCTTCCCTAATTTTCCCCTGTTTTCAATGCAGGTTTTCCAGCTTGCTGCACATCTTGTCTACTGGGGAAAAGCAATTATTATTTATCCCCTTTGTGAAAACAATGTCTACATGCTTTCTCCAAACGCCAGTGTCTGTCTGTAAGTAGAAAGAAGATGAGTGTCTGTAGCAGCACAGTGGTGAGGAGTGCAGATGCACTTTCCTTCCCTGTCTGATGGATGCAGAGTGGGATCTCGCACAGTGATACTGTGCTGCAGTCACTGTTGCATTGTTTGATGTGATGACATTTCATCCTGTGCCTTCTTGCAGACAGAAGGCAATGTGGCCATTTGGAGAGCAGGCAGCAGCACTGCAAGGGGGATGAGGAGGCAGGGGTGGGTATTTTGGCTCTGCTGAAGATTGGCAACCCTTTCTGTGTGGGATTTTGAGACGTTTTTAGCCTCTTGTGTTGGAACTCAGTTATAGGAAAATAGTTTTAAATCAAAACTTCTGTGATGGAAGTCTAAAAATAGAGCTGGAAGAGACCTCAAGGTCATCCAGGAACAGCTGTGCCTGTGTCATATATGGCAGTGCTGTTCTTGAAGACTTTTGTAGATGGAAATTCTAAGACAGTTTTCCTAACGTTTAACATGACTCTCCTTTACTCCTGGTCAGTCATGTTGCTTGTCCTAGCCATAGGCAGGCAAGGAGAACAGCCACATCTGCTGCTGCAGTTTGTACCTTCAGAGATTGTATATCCTTCCCATCCCTGTCTTCTCTGGACTGCCCAGTCCCTGTCCCTTTGATTAGAGACTGCACAGGTCTGGGTGTTTTATCACTTTGATTTTCCTCCTCTGGATTCCCTCCACACCTTGAATAATGTACTGGAGCTGAATGTAAGGCCAAGGTGAAAGTGCATAAGTTTCTGGCTTAATTCTGCAGGATGCAACATGCCAGAAACCATCCTCAGGGTTTTTCTGGATCACAGAGAATATTTCATTTGGAAATTGGCACTTTTGTAATGCATGATGTTACCCTGACCAGCAATTCAGAACTGATTCCTGCCTTTCCCTTTCTTCTGCAGTTACTCTCCCTTAGCAGATGCCTTCTCCTGCCAGTTCCGGGGCCACAACCTGCCGTCGATGCTGTCCAAGTTCTCCCTCCCAGTGTCACTCTCAGAGTTCAAGAATCCACTCGCTCCACCTGTTCAGGAGGTGAGCTGGGGCAGTGTGCAGGGACTCCTCCTGCTCACCAGGACAAGGAATGGTGCTGCTTCTGAAGTGCTTGGTCAGCAGCTTGCTGTTACACCTTTAGAAGTTGCCAATTATTGGTTTCAGCCTTGTGATTTGCTGTTTCATATCCGTGTGCCAAAAAGCTGTGGGGATGTTGAAGGTGAACAGATGCTCTGTGGTAGCAAAGCACAATCCTAAGACCAATATTAGAATCTTTCTTTTCCTGGAATGATGTAGAAGAGAAGACCAAAACTCCATTTGGTCTGTTGAAAACTGTCAGAAGTGAGTAGGGCTGAGTGCAAGTTTGTGGATTCTTCACAATCACATTTCATTGTATGATATTCCATCTGCTCCAAGTTCACAATCTGGTTTTAAAAGCAAACTCTGTTCACATAGTTTTGCTGTGAAACTGGAATTGTTTAAAGGCTGTTGCAGGAAGCAGACTCAGCATGGAGTCAGCAGAAGTCCACGTGTTGCAGCATTAGCTTTTGAGTGTTCAGATTCGGGATAATAATGTATGGATTTGGGATTTGTGACCTGTTATTTTGCTTGTGGCATTTGTGAGATCTGGTGAAATGCAAGAAAGAGCTCAATAAGGTGAGGTGTGTCCAGCACTGCTGTTCCCAGGTGAAGGAGCTTGGAGCTCTGAGCAGAGCTCAGGGTGGCAAAGGAAGCATAGGCAGAGTTATTTGCCTGGTTTTCTGTAGTGTTGTTTTCTGGCCTTCATGCTCTGATGACTTGTTGGCTACATGAATTTAGCCACTACTCAGATATGTGGAAGATTAACGTCACTTGCGCACTGAGGCACAACTGGGAGAGAAGAATTTGTTGTAATTACAGGTTGGCAGAGATGATGATCAGAGATAAAGATAAGTAATGATGTAGGTCTAATCCCAATAGTATGTACTGGTCAGCTGCCACCTTGGGAGGCAGGGGAAGAGTAGGATTTCACTGTAGTTACAGACAAATAAGTGTCCTGGATATTGAAGCTGAAATCATAGCATTAATTTTATTCCAGCTGCAGTAGCTCCAGGAGACATTCTGGTTCTCAGTACTCCTTTTAAAATTAATCATTTGCCTTAATACTTCTCCTTCAGTACTTCTGGCTGTTCTCAGATGCCCTACTTTATTTCAAAGACACAAAGAGAATTCTGCCACTTCCTGCTGCAGTTGTGCCTTGAACCACCAGTGGGATAATGCTTGCCAGAGCTGATGGATTGCTAAAGGGGCTTTTTAGTCTGTGCCTCCTCTCTCTGCTCACCTGTCCGTGGTGGGGTCCTAAAGGTCAGCACCACAGCTTGCTTTCATCCTTTCAGAGTGTGTGGAAGGATGAGGGATGATGCTGTGAAAAGCTATTGAAGTGTCTTCTACAATCTGGAAAGGGAAGGTGAGAACAGTGCTTGCAGGAGACTCAGGGCCACACTGGGGAGATGTGCCTGGGAAACTGGAGAAAACCACCACGCACTGGTGGGTCATACTGAGCCATGGCAAGTGGCTTTTTGATAACACTCAGTGAGACAGTTCTTAGGGGAGTTTAGATTGGAGAGGGTTTTTAGATGTTTTTATATTTTTTAAATATTTTCTTCTGCTTTGATCATCTATGTAGGCCTCTTTTTGTTTTATTTTTGTTAGGAACTAGTGTTTTAAGAAAGATTACTCCAATCCCTATCCTGGGGTGGACAGGCTCCAATTGTAATTAACTGAGATCTAGTCGATCTGTTCAATCAATTAACTGAGATCTGTTCAATCTGATGAAGTGTGGGTGGGTTTTTGTTCACTGTGCAGTGATGTACAGCAGATCCTGTACTCTGAACTGCAAATATTGTCAAAATCTATTTGCTCTGCCTTTGTAAAATCCTGAACAGTGTTGGGACCTGTGCCTGTGGTTTTGTTTGCTGTGTGCACAGGAGCTGCTGTGAGGTGTTTTAACTTTGAAGATTGTCAGTAGCAGTCTGTTATCTTGTGCTTTTCATCAGGCTGATGGCACTGCATCCGTTTCTGAAGGTCATCTGTGCTGGAAGGTCAATACTGTGGGAGGGGATGTGTCCTCTGCAGAAACTGTTCTGGTCTCGTGGCATCCATCCCATTTGATTCTTGTCTTAAGCATGGGATTAGCTCCCTACTTTTGGCATGTGCATCTGGATGGGTAGAGAATACAGAAGGCATTAATAAATCCCACAATACAAACAGGAGAACTGCTAGAGCCCTTCCTCCTGTTGTTATACAAACTGTACTGCTTGATTTGAAAGGGGACAGAGTTATTTTTGTTTGATTACTTTTGCATGGGTGGAGTTGCTCCATTCCTTTGGGTAGATGAAAGAAACACGACACTGACAGTTTTCTGCTTGGGGTGCTGTGCTGTTTTTTGGCTTGTAGGAGGGGTGAACAACCTGCAAAAGGACAAGAGTGCCTTGGAAGATGGAGTGCATGTCTGCAATCTGCTTTTGGTGTCTGGTCTGTCGAGTAGGAAGGAGGTGTCCAGTGAGTGTTGTCTGCCACGACTGCCAGTGCTCTCAGCCATGCCCTGTGCCAGAGACAGGAATTCTTGATTATGGCATCTTGGTCTCTTTCCTTGCCTGTGATGTTGAGCATTGCAGTTGAATTCTGGTTGTTGTGTATCTATCAGCTGAGAAGATTTAGGTGTTCATGCAGTGCTCTCTGTGCTTCCCTTTCTCTGTGTTTACCTGTGTGAGGATGAGCCTACGCCTACAGCTCTGCTGATCTAGTGATATCTCGGTGATGCTGAGCCCAGGCCCTGTTTTTCCTTTCCACTCTCAGGTGTGTGCACACACGCCTTCCTCCCTTCCCTCTTCCCTCTGCTGGAGCTCTGGCTCCTGTCCAGCTTGACTCCATTCACTTAACTTGTTTCAGCTGCACTAGATTTCTGCCAGGTTAGCAGGTGGAATTTGCTCAGAGGGAGATCCAGCGAGCTCCAGGGCTGGCACAGAGCAAGGGAGCTGACTTCTGCAGAACTTGTGCAGCTAAGGGGTGTGAAGGAAGCAGAAACTGTTTTCCCCTTTTTGCAATAGTGAGTTGTCTGTTAGCACCACTTGTGCTGTGTGTGTCTTCCAGACTTGCAGCAATCCAGAGCAGCCTGGGACTGTCCTGGATCTCACCAGGGTGCAGCCATGGGGTGTGGAGATCCTGTGAGCTGATGCCAAAGAAAACTCATCTTCCCTTTTAGTGTTTTTACTGGAGAAGAAGTAGTTTGCATCTCCTCTACCTCAGCCCCAAAGACCCTGTCCCTGTTCTGCTGCCTGCGACCGCTGGTTCCTGTCCCTGTGCTGTCCTCTCTCCTGAGTGGCTCAGCCTTATGTGAGTGTGGAGCTCTAGGGGTGTTCAGTGTGGTGCACAGCCCTTTGTCACCCCCTGGGATAGCACAGAACACTTAGCTAACTAAACCCTTTAGGTCAGCACACACTGGTTGGCAGGATCTGTACTGGGCACTGCTGCTGGTGCAAGGGAAGGCTTTGACCTGCTTTTCAGGGCAAGGCTTGCTTTGTACACTGTCAGAGTTTCACCCAGCTACTCTGCATTAAGTTTCTTCACAAACCAAGAGCAAAGGACGATACTTGTGGCTTCCCCTCATCCATGCACTGTGGACTCAGCTAGTTCATCTGCTTCCAAAGAAGCTACAGCAGCTCTCTACCCTGCCTTGAGGACCAAACATGGACTAGCAGAAGGGATCCTCTCACCATAAGGTAAAAGGAGTGTTCCTAGGTGGATTAGACATCCCATTTCCTCCCTGCATCTATAATGCACATTGCTGTTATTATTATTGTAGTTCTCTTGTAGTTTCTCCCTTGATGGAGCAAGGATAACTGCAGAAACAAACAGACGGGAGAGCATGACAGCTGCTGCTGAACAAAATCTGTTTACCTCTTCACTTCTGTTTTAATAAGTGTGTCCACTGGGGTCAGGCACCGGTAGATGAGACCTCAGCCTGGTGAATCTGGAAAACGTGCTGTGCTTTGTATGGGGCTGGGTGGAAAATGAGGCAGTGTGTCAGGGGGTGGAGTGGGAGGGAAGCTGCCTGCAGACCCTGAATAGGCAGCTGTGTCCTCAGAGAGCCACACTGCACATGGGACTGCTCTGCTGGGCATCTGGAAGGCATTAGGAGTCACGGGAGCTTTTGTTGGCAGAGGTAGGCAAGTGGTATTAAGATGCATTTATATTCAGTTGGACTAGGTATAAAATCAGGGGGTTTAGTGTGATAGGTTACAAAAATGTCTTGCTAGGTCTAAGTGGAGGGAGTGGTTAAGCTGAGGATTCAGAGCTGTTACTTAATGTTTAAAATGGCAGTATTAGACAGTTAGTTTTCAGAGTCTGTTTTCTGTAAAATAGGGAGGAGTTTTACTAACTGATCTGTTTTCCCCAAAACAGTGTGGTTTGAATGATGAAGGAAGGTAATACATTTCAGCAAACATCCCTGCACTCCCGTGACTTGGAAGGTGTCATCGTACTGAGCCAAGGCAGTCTGTAGTTCTCCAGTCAGACCTTGAAGAGTGCATGTGTCAAGTAACTGGATAATCCAGACCAGAGAAAGGGCTCGTGTGCTTCAGTAGGCAAAACAAGCTGTGTTTTACCTGACAGTGTCTCCTCATGTAGTAAGAAACAAGCTAGGATTGAGTGCTGTTGCTGTTTTTCCTTCCATTTCCTGAACCTATGGCTCATCCCAGTTATCCTTAGCTTTTCTGGCTTGGGAAAGAAAACAGCTTTAAAGAATGCTGGCAGTAAGACATCACTCAAGAGTTTTACAAACGCTCCTCTTGCTTCCCAGAGGGTAGAGAATAAGGAATGCTGGATCTTGTCCCTCCCAAGACTTCGAGCTGAGCTTTTTTATGTCCATCCCAGACTGCCCAGCTGGGCAGTGTTTTAGGAAGCTGGTACAGCCTCTCTGTGCCATCAGCACAAAGCAGGCACTGTACTGGCTCCTTCCACACTGCCCTGCAGGCCACACGTGCTCGCTGTGCCCTGGGGCTGCTGAGCTGTCCAGTGGGAACACACAGGACAGCCCTGGGCTGATCCGTGCCTGCCGGAGTGGGACGGATGCTGTGGCAGACAGGACCCCTCAGAGCAGGCTGGGAAGAGGCAGCATGGGGGGATGGAAAGGATGAAAGGAACATGGATGAAATTTAGAGCAAATTGGTAGTTAAATTAAGCAACGAAAAATGTTTTGCTTTATATTTCTGTCACGATCCTGGTGTTTGAGCCAAAAAAGGCTGTGGATTCCTGGTGTGCAGAGGCAAGCCTGGGACTGAAGTATGCCCTTGCCTGGGAAGCTACTCCCAGCCCTTTTGGCTTCAGCAAGGAGCTCTAATCGAGTAGGCTGAGACCAGACATGCAGAAAACCCTGTACCTCTGGGAGAGAAGAAGCATTTGTGACAGCCAGTGCAGCACAGATGGTGTGGGGAAGCTTCTGCTGCTGCAGACCTGTCTGTAAGCTCCATCGGAGCTCAGGAGGAGCAGATGGAGAATGGATGGAAATTCAGTGTTTGTGTGCAGAAGGACAAACAGCAGAATGTATTAGCAAAGCCTCTGCTAGACCTTATCTGTGAAAACCCTTCTGTTGTTGGCCAGAAATGGGTTCAAACCTGGAAGAATTGGGAGTGGTGTGAGGCCCATTTGCAGTGGTGGCACAAAGCACACATTTGGGCAGGGGCAGCTGCAGGGCACTGCAGTGCTTGGGCTCCTTCTAGGACTAGATTTGAAGAGGTACCAAATTAATGGTTTAAGTACAGATAACCTCAGGGATCATCAGTCTCTCTGGCCTAGGGATGATTGTTCAGGCTCACTTCAGTTATGGAAGGAGAATTTCCTCTAGTTCTCCAGCTGGTCACAGCCCATCTGCAGCTCTCCCACCTGGAGATGGCACAGAGGCATTGGGCAGTTGTTGGTTGTACAGCATTGTGGCTGTAAAGCTGTAACACCACTTTTGTCAGGACTCTTGTTCCACTGAGCCATAGCTACTGGCTCAGAGTGGCTTTCTAGGCATTTCCATAAGGGCATGGAGGTGAAGATGCATATGCAGGATTAGAGAGTGTTGAAGAAGCCTTTTCACACACGTGGAGCTATAAGGAAAGCAACTGGCTGTTTTTGTAATTCATGAAACCACCAAAGTGACCAGAGGAGGTTGGTCTGAGTCAGCCCTACCCACAGCTTCTGCAGGTCTGGTAAGGTCTTACTGTCTCCTTGAGTTGCCTTGGATTTTTCCAGGGTTGTTTTGTGCTGTGAAACGTGCAGACCTCTTTCATTTGACGTGAAATTAGCTAACTAAATGTCTCTCAGTGCCAACAGGTTGGAAATTTAAGTAAAATAAATGAGACACTTTCCATCCAGACCTGCATCTGGGAGGAAGGTTTTCAGCAACATAATCACTGGAGTAAACCTCCTCACTCTTCCAGGCTGACTTCAGATGTTAGCAAAGCACTGTGTCTTCTGTAGATTTTCTGTTAAACATGTAGAATGAATTATGGTTTTTCCAAAAAATATGTGTTTGAAGGAGATCCCAGAGAATACGTTTTAAGATTAAAATCCATCGAGCCCTCAGAAGTGGTAATCCCTGAAAAGACAGGGTGTGGGTCTGTCTGCAAACAGAACAGGTTTCTCTTGTGATGTGATAGCAGAGGAGGAACTGAGAATTATAAGGGTTATGAAAAAAGGAAAATTATGTGGGCTGATGAACTTGGGTTTGGGGCTTTTATTGAGATTTGGCCCATTACCCTGATGATTAATGCAGCAGAGCAATCTTCCTTCTCAGAGTCTGAGCTCATGCTGCATGTGTTTCTCTCACCAAAACAGTGTTGGTTGCTATGAAATCCCCAACAGCTTTGTCAGTGAATCAGTGTTCTCAGAGCCGTTAGCTATGGGAAGGGCTGCCTGCAGTGATATGAAAAGGCTTTTTGTGCAGAAATTCAGACACAATGATGCTCCTCCCAAACTCCTGAAAACAGGCCAAGTCAAGAACCTACAAACTCTTGCCCCTCACTCTGCTCAGGGACGTGGTGCAGGTCTCCAGCTGCTCTGACACACAGGTGTTGTGCAGGTCTGATACAAGGGACATTGCTCAGGGCTTTGAGAACACTTGCCACCATTGTCCATTTGAGTCCAGTCAAGGCACTCTAACATACATTGCTACCCCACCACCCCTCTTGCTATGCCTGTCTTCTGAAGAGCTTATAGCCATCCATTACAGCATTCTAGTCATGAGAGTCATCCCACCACGTTTCCGTGATAGTGACTATATCATCACTTTCCTGCTTCCAGCTCCCTGTTTGCTGCCCATACTGCTTGCACTGGTGTCCACCCACTTCAGCTGGGCTACTGACCTCATCCCCATCATAGGCTGCCACCCCCAGGCCTTGGGTGATTGGAAAAGAGATAAACTCTTGTGTGGGGTGAAAAATCACTTCCCTGTGTGACTTAGTCACCAAGTCTAACCTTTGTGCATTGTTTTCCTCCTGTGTTTTGTTTCTCCCATGTTTAATCCCTCCTTTCTCCCTCTGTAGACTCAGCTCATTCAGATGGTGATATGGATGCTCCAACACAGGCTCCTCATCCAGCTGCACACTTACGTGTGCCTGATGGTGCCACCGAACGAGGAGGAGTTCCGGGCCCAGGATGAAGACATGCCCTTTACTGCCAGAGTTGGAGGCCGAAGTTTAAGCACCCCCAATGCTCTCAGCTTTGGTTCTCCAAGTATGAGCACGTTTTTTTCTGGTGTTCAGACTCCAGCTCACTGCAGGAGCTTTCCTTAGTGCTGCCAAGGGTCATCAGGCCTTGGTAATGAGACAACTCCTCATGCTGGAGTGCTTACTAATTAGGTCCAGCCTTTCTTATATTCAGAACTGGGCATTGCTGAAACTCTTAAGGGCTATTAGACTTCTTTCTAGAAAGAAGTAACCTGCCAAGTTCTCTTGTGGTCATGTAAAAGATTTATAGGAGAGGTACTTCTATTTTTTGAAGTAACTTCCTCCTCCCTCACTGCACTCAGAAGTGACCCCTGTGTTCCTGTGGCTGCACTGCCCAAGTTTTGGGTTTCTGGAGGCAAAGAAAACCGTGAGAATTTTCTCCAAGCAGCACTGGTTTCTGTGGGCTCTAGAGCCACCTGAGGAGACACAGCTGGCTCCCGTTCTCACACATGATTGATTTCTGTTTATGTCTCCTGATTGTTTTAATCTCCTCAGTGCCATTCTCCGGAGTGATTCCAGGAAAGCATTTTTTTCAAGAGTATGAGTCAGATAGAGTGCTGAAATCCCCAAACTTTCCTGCCTGTGCTGTTCTGAGCAGCATTCTCAGAACGCCACTGAGGTTGGCTATGGGGAGAGATTCTCTGTACAGCTTTGAGCTTTACAGAAGTCATGAATTAGGGCAGAAATGTTGGAACATGAGTCAGATAAGTCTGTGATCTGCTTATTCTGGCTCACTCACAAGAGGATATTGCTTCTGGCCATTTTGCCTTCTCCCACCTTCTGTGCTGTTAGGCTTTTCATGTTACCACTTCACGGTATTCCAGCAGAGCTGGCTAGGAATTTTCTTTTCAGATGTTTTTATGGACTGTTTATGGTCTCCAGAAGTACAGTTTTCCACATAAATTGATGATTTTGTTGAAACATTTGAATTTCCCATTGAGAAAATCACTGTGTTGTCATATGACTAATTGCAGATTGGTGGAACATTTCGAGAGCCACTTTCTCTGCTCTACAAGTCTGAAGGGAATATTTGGGAAGGCTGAATAGAAACAGCCTGAATTGATAATCTCTGCATCATTATGCTGAGGAATATAAAAGTGTTGTGCTTGTGTGTCTCTCTCTTCCCCTGATAGCTAGTAGTGATGACATGACTCTGACAAGCCCTAGCATGGATAATTCCAGTGCTGAGTTGATACCTGGTGGGGATTCACCCCTAAATAAAAGGATGACAGAGAATCTCCTGGCCAGCCTGTTGGAACACGAGCGGGAGGCGATCCTCAATGTCCCTGCTGCCCAGAATCCAGAAGATCTTCGCATGTTTGCCAGGTGAGGAGTGCAAAATGCAATCTTTGCTTCCTGTCCTTCCTGTTTTATTGAGGGACTGGTGTGGATGCCGAGCAGATCCCGTTAGCCTGGGAATTTGGAGGATGAATTCTTTTGGGTTCATTCCCCTTACACCTATTTCATCTGTGCACAGCAGTTGTTGATAAAAACTAATATATGTGGCACAAGAACACTTGTTAGCAGAGTCCTGGATGTGTGAAGGAGCATCAGGGAGTATGATTGATTTCACCTGCCAGTTTTGCCGTGTGCACATGTGGCAGACATAAAACTGCACAGTCTTACAAACCCTTCTAAGCACAGAGTGAAGTCCCTGTCGTGCTGATGCTGCCGATCTGTGTCTGTTGATTTTCTGAGCCAGCTAGCCTTTATTTTAAGGTTAGTAGACTCCGTGCAAATATGAGACAAAGAGCATGAGGCACAGAGCCAGCCTGAGTACTTCTACAGACCAGTCTGTGAGTGTTTCAGGGTCTGTTTTGCAGAGATGTGGGCTTGTTGTTAGGTTAGTTAGGTTAAAGGCATTGGGTGTGTGATGAGTAGCACACATTTTGTTGTTAAAATCTCCACACAACAAAACCAGGCACAATGTGGTTCTGCACTTCCTAAGCAGCCATCTGGGAAGAAGGTGGGGGGGAAATTCTTTCTCTTGCTAAGCATTTCAAAACAGAGTGGCATCACTGGAATGCAACTTTCACTGCTTTTCATACTTGTGGAACAGAAAATGACCCGAGGGAAGTACTGCAGCTGTTCCTAGACTTTGGTAATCCTCTGAAAACCTGGTTCTTGCCCTGGGATGGATACAGTCAAGTAGCCCAAGGAAACTAATAACAGGAAAATAATTCCCTTGTCTGTGGCAGAGTACACCTCAGGGACTTTGATGAAGCTCTCAGAGCTTGTGAGCAGTTACTGCTCTCTGCATTCCTTGTCTCCATCTTCTGTAACTGTTCAGAGGATATTCTCTGATTGAGAGGCAACATTGGCCATTTGAGAACTCTGAAGTGGCTTTTTCCTTATTACCAGCTAAGTCATTATGAAAACAGCGAGAAAGGAAAGTAAAATCAAATCATATTTAGTGATATCTCAAGACAGAATTTGCGGGGGATGCGTTGGACTGGTTCAGTGGCAATGCAGAGTCTTAGTTACCCTGGGGAGAGGAAAGGATGTCATGATTGCTCCCCTCATGCTTCCTTCATCTGGGTAAAACAGCCATTTGAAAGCTTTGGGATTGCAGATCCCAAAAATGACTGGGATTTGTGAAACCAGATGCTGTAACCAGGCAGCTGAGTGATGTTTGTTTTGCAGTTTGCTCATGCAGCAGGTTCGTCTACAGATCCCCAGGACATCCCTGCTAGGTCTGAATTTCCAGTCTGCTCTAGATGGAATTGGCACAGCAGCAGTGAGGAAGGGAGAAGATAGGATAAGCAGATGGGGCCTGTGGGCAGGATGCTGGAGTGCACAGAGAAACGTTCGTGCAAGACCCTTAGGAGACACTGTGACTTGGAGGCCATGGGTGTATTTTCTCTCTTTTTGTGCCATAACCATCAGAGATAAGTGTCTGGGTAAATCTTGCACTCAGTGAAAGGGTAACAATCAGAGAAGCTGCAGTGAAAGTGCTGATCTCCCTCATTACCCCTGTGCAGGTGCTGTGCCAGCTCTTCCCTGGAGCAGCAGCCTCACGAGGGCTGTGCTCTGCAAACAGCTCTGCCCTGTCAGCTGCCTCCCAGAGCAAACTGCTGTAAATACATACCTAGTGCTCTAAATATCCTGTGACTGCCCTTCCCAGGGTGGCTGTGTGTGCACACAAAGGGATGGGCTATTTCCAGCACAGCAATAAAGTTCAGCCTGGTACATTTTCCTGTGACTCTGAGTGCCTGTTCCTCGTTATGCAGACAGCAGAAAGTGCTGGTGCCTGTCCAGGGCTGTGCACAGCCTGTGTTTGCCAGGCAGAAACCTTAAGGGGAAATAAGAAATACTGAAGCTTGGCTCCAGCATTGGCTGCATTAACCCTCGTAACGTTGAATGGGAATTGAAATCTGAGTTCTTTCCTTAGGTGCAGCCAGAGGAGGGTTGGCATGTCCTGCCAGAAGTCAGCTTAAGAAGGAGACAAGTTCTTTTTGAGCTGGATCCTCAGTAACGTACACAAAGCATTCCTCACTGCACATTAAACTGTGCTTTTAAAGACAGTTTGATGCTTCACTCATGGTTTCTTTCCCAAGCCAGGGGTGTGGAGTTGCTTTCAGGATTTATTTTTCTTGCTCTTAGTCTGGGAGGTGAGATCCTTTACTCCACTGAGGAATGCTCATTGGCAGCACCAGGCTGTGGACAGTTCTGCTCCATTTTCAGCAGGGCTGGGGAAGGGACATCTCCTTGGCCAGACATAAGCTAACTCTGTTTGAGTAACTAGTCTGAGATAGGAACATTATGGTGCTGTTAGAGGGGCAGCTCTTAGAGTCTGAAGAACAGTGATGAGCAGCAGAAAGCAATAATATTCCATCACTGCATCTGGAAGTGCACATTTGTTAATAGACCCATCTGTGAGCCTTGGATGGGCTCAAATGTAGTGTCACTGCCCCAGTGCCATCTCATGCCCTGTTTGGGTCCTGTAAATGTTCATTGCCCAGAAAGGCAAAGGTAGTGCCTATCTTCAGTGGAGCCTCAATGCCTACAGCTTTTGTAGATTCTAGTTGGACTTTTGGGAAAGCTTCTTCCCTGGGAGGGTGGCACAGCCCAGGACAGATTATCCAGGCATGTGGAGGTTCTCCATCCTTGGAGGGTTTGAGCTTGGCTAGGAAAAGCTACAGCATTGGCAATACTCCTACTGGAACAGGATGCTGGACTAGACTTTGGATGTGTCTTCCAGCCAGCATTTTTGTGATGTTCTTTAATATCCTCTCTAGCTTTTATTGGAGTGGAAAGTATTTCATCAGACCAGACCATCCAGACTCTTTGAATATAGGATGGATTGATTTATTGGAAAACGGCTTAGTCTGTTGGTGTGGACAGCCAGGAAGTACCATTTGCACAGAAGAGCTGTGCCAGTAGATAAGCACTTGAGCAGGCACAGTGAGCAGCCTGAGGGAGGGGAGAGAACACACAGAATCACTTTGTGAGCAGTGTTACAAGTTAGGAGCTACAAACATTTGTGTTGATACCTCAGGGAATGGTTTGGGTTTGACACACACACACAAGAACTGGCACTGTCTCTGCAAACATTCTCAGTGGAGGCAGTAGCCATTGGCCCAGGGGAAAAGTTGGTGAGCCTGAGGTCAGTACCCAGTGGGAGACAGTGCAAAAGGCAAACACACAGCCCAGAGAGGGGAGGGGTAAATAAGACTGGAGCTTGTCTGTTGTTTGTTTGTGCTGCAGGTACAGAGACACAGCAGTTATGGCAGTGTGCCAGTGGGGATGAAGCACAGGGGTTCCCACTCTGTTGGGGAACAAGAGCAGGTGAGAGGAGGGACATGGCAGGTTGTGAAGCAGAGAAACACAAGTGGCAGTGGACTAGATGTGAAATTTTCTCTGTGCAGTGTAGAGGGAGGGTGTGATGGAGGGGGACTTGTTGCACAGTGACTCCTTTCCAGTCACCCGTGAAGGGTAGTGGGTGACAGCAGTGCCTGAACAGCAGCCAGGTAAGCCTTGTCATGCAGGGAAAGCACAAGAGGCCCCATCTGCTGCTGTGTGAAAACAGGCAGGAACACTCTGCTGGGTGTTCAGTGTGCTGAGGGCTGTTCCTGCATGAGGGATATATGAATGGATTGGAAAACAGATCATGTCATCTCCACTCATTTTTACTGCCAGTTGGCATGAAGCTGTAGATGGGTAATGGAACATGAGCAAAAGCTGCTGGATGTGTATCACATGTGGATGCACATCTGCCTGTGTAGCTGGGAGGTGATTCTGAGGGATGGGAGTTTGAGTAGCATGTGCAGCATGGCTCTGGTGTTTGGGAGGATGTTGGGACTAGTAAGAGACTGAGCAGAAACTTGAGCGTTGTCTGGGGCCTGGCTTGGTGTTCAGGCTCCGAGGTGGCTCTGGGGAGAGGTCTTCAGCCATCAGGGACTTACTGCCATGGTTTGTCCTGGACTCTGCACTGACTGACCGTGCAGGGCTGATGTTACCTGATGACTGTAGCATGTTGGTGCCAGCAAAAGGCTGTCTGACCTGTCTGTTTCAAGAGAACTGAGAATTTAAGATATCAGCGTGGTTTGAGCTTAGGCTTCAAGGTCTGGGGGTTCTCTGTGGTACCTGTCACCAAAATATCCATCTCCCTGTTTTGACTGCTCCACTTAACCCAAGCTGCCCAAACCTCAGTGCACAGCTTACTGTTTCGAAGCTCCTTGGTCTGCTGTGAGGTAAAATTTGCTCTTAACTTTAAAAGCCAGTGTAGGCCCTGATGCAGAGCTGTGAGGAAGGGCATTGTAGGCCCAGCAAAGGGAGCACAGAAGTCAGTCTGCCATGTCCTGACTTCTCAAGGCTTGTTGGCACTCGTGGTTCTTCACTTTCTGGAGTTAGAACTACATTGAAAAGTGGCAATCATGGGAAATGCTGCAGACTAGGAATTCTCTTGATCCAAAGAGGACCTTTGCAAAGCCCAGAAGTGGAGGAGTCCCCTGCTCTTCCTGGGGATTTCTGTGCTAGGCATGCCTGAGGCAACAGCCGATTTAATTCACTTCGCATGTAAACGAGAGTCACTACCAAACACCTTCTGCTTTGTGTCCCATGGGAGAGGAAGCCTTGGGGGTGGCAGTATGGCTCTAGCTGTGTGCCCATGCTTTGTCCCACGTGCTCCCTGGCTCTCCTCCCTGCAGGCTGCTGCACTACTTCCGCGGGCGACACCATTTGGAGGAGATCATGTACAACGAGAACATGCGCCGCTCACAGCTGCTGATGCTGTTCGACAAGTTCCGCAGTGTCCTGGTGGTGACCAGCCACGAGGACCCCGTGATTTCAGTGTTCCAGTCTCTCTTAAAGTGACTCTACTGGCACAGGAAGGGAACCTGCCACGCTTTCTGTGTGAAAAATTCCTAAAAACTGAAGGAGGTGATTTCAGGTCCTTCTCACCATGTGACACAGAGCAGGTTCTCCCCATCCACGCCTCAGTGTCCCACCTGCTCTCTGTGGTGACAGCCGAGGCTGCTCTGTGCAGAGCTCCTGGACCTGCTGTTGGACAGCACGTGCCTGCTCAGCCTGGATTCCTGCCGTGCCACATCACAGCCCTTCCCTGCCCCTGATGCCCCCAGAGATCGTGAGAGTGGGATGAGAAGAGTTCTGCTGCAGAACATCACCTTTGGGTGGACACTGGTGCATCAGAAGTGCTTCCTCTGCTCACCAAGCTGACCTCTGGGTCATTCCACCACAAGCAGCTGCCCCCAGGGCACAGCATGCATGGTCTCTGCTCCAGGGCATGGTGGAGCTGGCCTGGCTTATAGGGAAATGACCCTAGGCACCAAGAAATTCTGTTTGATCATTGTTACCTGGCAGCAGTGAGGACATGGGTAGGAAGGTAATGTACCACAAATAAACAGTTTCATGAGTGAATGACTCGCTCACTGCATCACAGCTCATTCTTTCCTCACCACAGTATCCTTATTCCCAAGTGTCTGTTGGAGCAGGGCTGTCACCAAGCAGCCTCTGCATTCCTGGGTTTTCAGGGTTCCCAGCTTTTGCCTGGGGGTGGGAGCTTGGCTGTTGAGCAGGACTGAAATGAGTTGGCCAAGCTGCAAGGCCATGGTCATACTCGTTCCACACAGCCAGAGGCTGCTGCTAAGGGCACTTGGGCTTGTCCCCTGGGATGTGTTTTGTCCCTTCATTCCTCTCCTGCAAACATGCTGTGGATGCAGGAACCAGATGGGTATCCTGGCCTGGGTGAAAGCTGTCCAGCAGAAGAATGAGAGGGCTGTTTCCTGATGTGATTCAGGACTGCTCCAGCCATGCCAGGGCCAGAACAAGAGGTGACAGGCCTAGTCCTGGGGACAGCAGGAGTTTCTGCCAGCTCATCCTGCCCTGTGTGAGGCCACTGTTCTGCACAGCTGCTCACTGCTCTGTGCTGCATACATATCTGGTCACTTAGGAGCCTGTCCCGTGGAGGTATGAATGTCCCACAGCTTCTCTGGGCTGCTTGTTCCAGTGTTTGACCACCCTCATGGTGAAAATTTTTTTCCATACAGCTAATGAGAATTTCCTGTTTCCTGGCTGGTGCCCATTGCCTCTCATCCTGTCCGACAGCAGCCTGGCTCTCTCTTCTCTACACCCTCCCATGAGGTAGTTGCAGACAACAGTAAGATCCCTCCTTTACCCCCTCCTCTCCCAGCTCTCACCCCTTCTGTCTGCCCCATGTGAGTATTCCCCTGCAGTGGCCAAGCACTGGCCTTTGATGGAGGCTGGCATGATGGGAACCTTCTCCACTCACACACCTTAGTTAAACCTAGATCCATTGGCAAGGGAGGCCATTGGCAACGCATCCAAAATCAGCCTCAGTTCTGGCTGGGAAGCCCATGCAAGTGTGCCCCACAAATAAAGCTCCACCTTGCACCATTCCCTGTGATAAAGTACATTTATTGTTAAAAAAACCCCAGGCCACTCTGTCTGCCATGATGCAGCTTGAGGCCGTTGTACAGAGCACAGCTCAAGTCCTGGTTGGTGGGACACCTGCATGACTTGTCAGCTACAAAAGAATTGTCCCGTTGCTGCCATCTCTCTCTCTCTTTTCTTGTCTATAACACTCACAAATCTGTTCCCTCGTAAGTAAAACCTGAGTGGTTTCTGTGCCCACTCTCCCGTGTTGCCAATACCAATCCTTGTGGTGACCACCACATCCTGCTCCCCCGGTGGGTCCTGGCCAGGGACCATCCAGATGGCAGCATCCTGAGTCAGGTCCCTTTGGTCAAAAGCCTTATCGATGCCAAACGCCTGGCAGAGCTTGGAGGGCCCATTGCAGAGCTGCCAGTCCTTCAGCAGCTTGGTGGGTGCTTTCCTGGAGGTTCTGCGCAGCTCCCTCATCGCATCCAAGCCCTGAAGAGGCTCCAAGGAGCGCAGGAGCACTGCAGCCCCTTCCCCTGTGCAGAGCAAGGTGGGTGTTAATACAGGGCTGGTTGTGGGAACCCCTCAGCTTTCAGCCCACTGCCAGCAGCAGCACTTAGCTCTGAGCCAGAGGAACAGGCAATCACCTGCAGTGCCCAGTCACAGGGCCTGTCCTTGCTCCAAGTGCTCTGGACTCAGCCACTGCACTCCCCTCTCTCCTCCCAAATGTCAGTGTCCCTTAGCTCTGTGGCCTTCACTTAGCAGTGTTGACTTGCTCTTCCCAGCCCCACTTGATGTTTCTAAGTCTGGCTGCTGCTCAAAGGCCTGCCAGAGGGTAAGAGGTTTTTCTTATGTCTGCACAGTGTTCAGGAATAAACACACATATGGTTCAGTTTTGGCACAGTTATCCAAAGCTGCTCCCAAACCCAGGGGATTTTTAATGAACTCTGATTACAAGAACTCCAGCTAACAGAGGTGAGGAGGAATGAGCCTGGATGCTGCCAGCAGAAAGAGCTTGCAGAGTTAAACTGGACAAAGAAAAACCTGGGAAAGAGCTGCAGGCACTGGGAGCAGCCACTGCCTCTACTGCTGCTGAGGGAGCTCAGGCTGCAGTTGGTACCAATCTAACCTCCCACTGTGACAGGTGGGATGACCATGGCCATGGGTAACCACATAGCTACAAGAGGCAGCAATTTAGACCCTTGTACCAGGGAAGCTCTCACAAGGCAGAGCCCTGGGGCAGGACAGGTCTGGCTCCCTGCTGCTGCTCCCTCACCAGCCTCCAACATCTGGAGCCATGCTCACCCCTGGCAAAGGCCTTTTTTTGTAGGCACTGACAGATCCCTGAGGACCTGTGATTTCCAGAAATAGACTCTCTCTCATACTTTGTACAAATCCCACACTAAATTACCCTCCTGGGCTCCCAGGGAGGACCTGGTTTCTGGATTTGTGAGGTGTGCCTGCTGCCCTGAACCTTCTCAGAGCCCCTGCTGCCCTCAGTACAGCTCGGTGAAGTCAACAGCCTTATTTCCAACAGCTGTCAGCAATCTGTTCCCAGGCACTCCCTTCTCCAAGGAAGGGGATTGATGCTAATCTGGCAGCCAAAAGCTGCTTCCCTGGACTACAGTGATTTAGAGCTCAAAGGTCATTTTAGATTTTTAAGAACATGTTCCATGTCCTAATTCTGCTTTTTATCCAGGCACAAAGAAACATCCTTCACATCGTGTTGCTGCCTCACTTGCCAGGAACAACTATGAGATTCTGAGCAATCACTAATTACATTACTTGCTTTCATGCCTCACAAATCCAAGTGGAAAGTGGTCACACTTGAGCTGTGTCCTCAGGAGTTCATGTGAGACAAGCACTTGGAGAAACTGCAGGTGCTCCCAGTGCCCTGGAGAGCGTGGCAGGGGTATCTCCCCACATTCTTTCTTGGAAAACATCTGCACGTGGGCAGACAGAGTGAAGGAGCAGCTCCTGCTTGCATAGCTGCATCAGTGATGCACAACGTGGCACTGAGTGCCTGGCAGTGGCAGCTCTGCCTGGTGTCAGCATAGCTGCAGGTGTGACAGGCTGATGGGCAGTGAGTTTGTAACAAAAACTCCAGTGAAATCCATCACCACAGTGAGTTCTTCAGCTGATTTGCTACAAAACTAAACACAGGTATATAAGGACAAATGTCCCAAAGTATACATTTCAAAGACATCTTTCTAGAATTCAAAGGCTAAGCATCTTTTTTAAAAAAATAAAAATTATTATTACTAATATTTCAAACACTGACTGATGAACCATCCTGACTAATGAACCATCTGCTTTCATGATCTGAACAGAGTTGGCAGAGACAATGTAATGAAATTCACATGTGTTCATCCACCAGACTCCAGACCTCCGTTTGGAAAGACAAGCTCTTCCCCCACAGCATAACCCAGCACTGTTTTCCTGCTTGGCTCTTGGCCAAAGGCCAAAACCTGAGGATTAATGGTCACTGTTAGATTTGCTTTCCACTTAGGAATATAGAAGCTGCGATTTTTTTCACTTTTCTCTTTGAAACTGCAAAAAAGAAAGCAAATTTTTTCTGAGATTTTTTCTGACAAAGTGAGGATGTACCTAGGAAATAGCTGCTGCCACTTCAAGGTGTCTAATTAAGCAACGGTTTTATTGCAAGGCAAATACTGTCATTCTTACAGGGCAGGAAAGTTTCCAGTAACACTTGTATGCTCAGAGGAGCTGTGGAAGGACAGTCTCAGTAAATTCCAGAATAATTTGGTTAGAGCTTGACTGTTACACCTTGAGTATAATAAAAGAAGATCATAGATTCTGTAACAGCTTGGGTATTTTGATTTGGGTCAGGTTTTTTTGGCTTTAAGATATGGCAAAACAGGTAAAATGCTCCTACACTGAATCCTTGCTTAAGCTTAGGACATCTCAGACCTTTTTGTTTTCCTCAACATTTACAGCCTCTGAAGATAAAGGTGGGAGACAGAAGAGTTTCTTGTCATGACAACAGACACCAAGATTTAGGCTGTCATTAGACTGCAAGTTTGCTTCTACATCCCTTCTTTTGAGGAACAAAGTTCACTGGATCACACGAATGAGGCAGCAGCACAGGTCATCAAAACTGAAAGCTCCAACTTAGCCAGATCGTCCTCCAGTCCTTCCCCTTTATTTGTGTGCCTGGACAGTTGTCACAGCTGGGACCAAAGTGGGCAGCTGATACAGTTCTCACAGCTGGGACCAAAGTGGGCAGCTGCAGATGGGCCCTGCTTGCCTTGCTACCTGTCCACAGATACACAGTGGTCACAGTGGCAAAACCCAGTTCCCAAGGAAAGATCGTGACAGCAAGTCCCTGACTGCACAGAGCCCACGGGGAGCTCACAAGTGACTGCAGCCCTGCAAGTGGAGCTTGAGATGTCAGCCCTATCCTGCAGGCACTAAACCTCTCCCAGCCTCAGCTTACCTTGGCTGGAGACATTGATGCAGAAATAAATGCCATAGATCTGGTACACGTACAGAGTTCCTGGTTTCATGAACATTGCTGCGTTCCGCTGAGTTTGCTTCCCACCTCTCGAGTGGGAAGCTTCATCTTCCCCACCCAGATAAGCTTCTGTTTCAACAATCCTGCCCCAGAGTTCTCTGCCATCAGGAAGTTTGCGGACTAAAATCTGAAAGAGAGGTCAGAGAGCATCAGTTAGCAGCCTCTGTGCAAAATAACCAGAGCAAGAGCTGTGGAAACAACGAAGTTGGAAAAAAAGACTTGATGGTACTACATGCTCTCCATCTAGCAGTGCTTTCTGTAAGCCAACACCAACTGCTTCAGCTCCCACTGTCCAGGCCACTGCCCAGTACAAGGAGTTCCTACCTGTCATTCACAGAATGCCTGGAGTGCCTAGATGTGGCAGTTTCATAAAGAACCAATTTATGATCCTACATACACTAACACCCACAGAGTTGCTTTTGTGGTTATTTTCTGTATTCTCCACCCCAATCCATCAGGTTTAAAGCAAAAAAAGCACCACTGATACCAACCTTGAAGCATCATGAATGTGTAATCTTTAGATCAGAAGAAATATGGCAGTGGCACAATTAAATAACTGCAATGATTAGATAGTGTCTCTCCTTAAGAGATGTTTCAGGCAAGTCCTGGTCCCTAACCACAGAGATAATCAACACCAAAGTGAGCATCAATGCTATTTCTGTGCCACAGAAGGGGCAGTGCAGGAGAGCTGGGAACTGCTTTCAGGCAGACAACAGCAGATATTTGTTATTAGTGTGTTCCTTGCCGCTGGTACCACCTTAAATAAAACAAAGCAGATGCAGGGGAAACAACACATGACAAGGGCAAAGATTCTCTTTCAAAATGAAACAATGCCTAAACTTCCTATGAAGATTTCTGTGGTTCAACCTGATTTCTAAACTTCTTCTTTTACTGAATGTGTACAAAATATGCAGCATACTCTCCTTTAGGCAACAGCTATCAGTTTAACCATACTACATTCAGCACTTCATGTCTGAAAAGCAGCTGTTCAAAAATGACCTTCAGGAAACAAAGCTTAATGCCTAGCAGATGTCTGTGGTGCATTGCTAACACAGATATTGATCTGATGCAGTCTGGATGCTCCAGAAGGCAGTTTCCAATGTTGCAATTCCTGTAGATCACAGCTCCCCTACAGCACTCATCAAATCGTTGAAAACAATCAGTTTATTGCTGTTATGGCAAATGCAGTGACTTGAGGAAAGCACTGGTGTTCAGCACTGCCTGGGGACACCCCAAAAGCAGAGCCCTGTGGCCACATTTCTTTCTCACTATGATGAAATGCAGTGGATGCTTTTAAATTCCTAACCTAACCACTGCAACTCCCAATCCTTCCCAATACCTCACAGTAAACTACTCCATAGAGGTTTTTCTCTCTCATTGAGATGTACCTTAATGTTATGGCAGCTCACTCTGAGAGGTTATTTACTGCATGCATGTTTTGGGGTATGTTTTTGTTTCCAAGAACTCAAGTAGCATGAAGATAAAGCAAGATTAATATACCAGATGCCTCCAAAGTTTGGTAGAATGAAGATAATGAATGAAACACTGAATTACTTTTCTTGTTATAATTCTAAGCAAAGAGGAGAGTAGGCTGAGTCATGGGAGACTGGGGGTTATACTTCAAAAACTGTAAAATGAACACAGAAATCACATGGCTTGTGATTCTAGGCCTAAAATACAGAATTAGGACTCAAATATCATCTGCCCAGAGTACCTGAATGCATAAGGATGTCAGTGATCAGTAATGGGAGACCTGAGGTATCCCCAGGAAAACCAGGTAAATGCCACAGTAAGCAGGACATGGGTGATGTTTTCTTAGACACCACCAAATGCTTTACAGAGTGGTTAATCAGGATCTCACCAGAAAAGACTCAACTCTTAAACTGATCCAGAGCAAAACACAAAGTCTGTTCCAAAGACAACCAATCAACAAACTTTCCCTGACAAACAACTTTTTATCCTGACCACGAAGTTCAGTGTCTTTTCACAAGCATTGAGGTCCAAAAATAATCTGCCAGAGTTCTGCTCACCAGCAAAAAAAAAGGGAAACTACATAAAGTGAGGAAGCTTGTTGGGAAGAACTGAAGAGAGGCAGCCAAAGGTTAAGGCTGGGAAGGCAAACCTCGAGCAGGATATCTGTAAAGATAGCAACACACATGGAAGATCATAGAGAGGTTAAGGCAGAGCAGAAAGAAACCCAGCAGGGTTAGAAAGCACAGCAAAGGCATCAATTACAAGCCAGACAACATCCTTAGAAAACACAAAAGAGCTAGATGCAGCAAAACAGGCCAAAACCAACAGTTTGTGGAACAAATTCCTCAAGTTATCTAAACCCACAAGAACCCGAGAGTCTGCTCACCCTACAGACAATAAAGGTATAAAAAAGGCTCAGAGAAAATAAGACCACAGCAGTGAAACTAAACACACACATTGCAACTGCGTTTAGGAGGTCCCAGACTGGAACTTTTTATAGGGAAAACACTGGAGGAACTCCCTCCCATGGAAGCAGCAGGAGAGGGTTTTGAAGGACTCACTAAGCAGCAGAGGCATATTTAATCTCCACCACTCTGATTTCCAGAGGCTTTCAACAAGGTCCTCAAAGTTTCTGCAATGGGATGAGGGAGAAGGTTTTTACATGAACAAGTAATGACTTGGAAACTCAGAAACAAAAGACAAGGACAGCAACTTTTGGAGTGAAGAGAGTTTAACTGTGGGACAGTGCAATCCTTAGCATCACAAGACAGTAAAACAGAGGCAGACAAGATGTTGTTGACTGCAGAGCATTACTTCCCACTGGGCCAAAACCTGAAAGGAAAATAATGAATGGGCCTCAAACAACCTTCAAACCACAAAGCATGTTTCAGTAAACAGAAAAAAAAAAAAAAAAAAGGGGGAAAACTCCACAAAAAACCTGATTCTAAAAAGTGACAGTAAACTAGACCTGAAAAATTACTCCTCTGACCTCATCCAGAATAGATTTGGCTCCCAGTCTTTAAATTCCACCGCACTCAACATGAGAAGGAATGAGAGCTATTCCTGAAATAGCCAAGTCTGGCAAAAAAAGCATTTCATCCTTTTACACCAAGGTATTAGCTAGCACATGCTCCAGTACAGGAATCTCAGAGCTCCTGTCTTACCTGTCCCAGAAAGGACTTGGCCAGACTAACACATGGCTGGTTGAAAAATTCTGCTTGTAGCTGAGAAGAAGTTTTGTTCTCTGTCACAAAATATTTGCTGCTTTTTGGAGAAGAATCTCCACCAGGTGTAGCGTTTGGGTTGCCCAAGGCATCAATCTGAGGGATGCTGGAGTTGTTTTGAAGAGCACTTAACTGAGCCAACAGCTTTCTTTTCCTGGGCATAGTTCTAGAAAAATGGATACAAGCATAATTAGGAATATAAAGCTTATTTAGAAGGTACCTGGTTCCACAAACTCCTGTTTTGACACATCTCAAACTCCAGAGGCAGGTGACAGATTGAGCTGTGTTTACACCAGGTTGGGCAAATATTGGACTCTACTGGTAAGCAAACAGAAAACAGCAGTTTGAGTGTTCATCTTTTAAGGACTGCGGATGAAAAGCAACTCTGCTCCACCTCCTCTAGAATAAGTTTGCTAATTGTTAGGTTAGGAAATCCGGAAATTCAAAGCTAAAATGAACCAATATTAGATACTTTTAACCTAAAACTAAAGTAATCTTTTAAGCAGAGAGAAATAGAAACCAACCACTTCAAAATTTGTGCTGCCTCAGAAAGTCTCCACAAGTTATGCATCAATCATTGTAAACTGCAGTGTAGCTGAATCAGAATCTGAAACTCCACAGGACACACAATGTTGGAGGTGGGACGTGCCCTGTTTACAGCCACAAACTTGGCTGTCATACTCTAGAAATGTTTTAGAATCTCCCCAAAATAAGCTTGAGACTCAACCTACCAGAAAGATGAAGAGCAGTTTATTCCAGTTAACACATGTACTTGAGGCAACTACATAACCTGCAGTTGTTCTTCTAACTTGGTCACCAATTTACCATGTGAGCTCCAAAAAGTCAATGTTTCTTTTTCAGTGCTGCAAGTCCTTCTGCCTGTGGGACAGGAACAAACACTTACTCACTGCAGAAAGCACTTCAAACAGGCTAAGAGGTTTCGAAGCTGGAGATATGATGCCAACAGCACATCATTAGCTCAAACTCAAGAACATTTTGTAGCTTTCTGTTGGTCCAGCAAAAATCCATCTCCCAGCTGGGGCAGTGTTGGATTAGCCTGTGTTATACAGAAGGCCATGAAAGCACTGGGGAATACACTTTGCCTGTACTGAATACACAGAAACCTAAAGCCAGACATTTAACATTCCCCCACTGGCACTAAATTTGGAAAGTGGCAGCCTCAAATAGGGACTCTTACAAGAGAATTTAAAGACACCAGGTTTTAGAAGAGGCCTCATCAGTTCTGAAATTCAACCACGTGCAGATGTAAGGGGGAAAAGCAAAGGTTCAGCATCATACAGAATTACAAATGGATAGATACATCTATGGCTGAACCTGCTATATACATACATGGCTCAACCTGCAAGGGAAGTATATACAGAAGAAAATAGCTGTTGCCACTCATTTTTCACAGGATCATCAGCTCTGAAAAGTGACTACAAACACTGTCACCATCAAACCCAATCTTTATCACGCTCTGATGATTCTCACAATGAAAGCTCCACCAGCAAGTTTCCTTGAACTACCCTGAAAGAAATTCAGCATTGCTACACTCTGAATCACCAGTGCCAAATCCCCAGCAGTGTTATGTTTCACTTCAGAAGAATCCAGACACAAACATATAAAAATAGGCAGCAAAGAAAATAAATCACATTGGCAGGACTGGCAGAGAGGTGGGATGGGTGTATTTCTTTTCTAAACATGTCATTCCTTATTGCAGTAATTCAGTGATGTCAGAGACTTGCCAGCTCCATGCCAGAGATTCTGCTCTCAACTCTGGCTGTCACCTGGTGGGAATACCTAGGAATTTTCTCAGAATTCAGCAGCCTGCCTCAGACCAAACTGCCTGGTGGCCTTGGCAAATGAGTTCTGCCTAGGAGAAAGGGTGAGAATAGCAACAAGGGTTGCAGGAAGGAAGGGATGGAAGAAGAACACTTTCCCCTCTCAGACTGACCCTCTGTAATACTCAGGCAGGGAATGCTCCCCACTGAAGACAATACCTCCAGACCTCTCTAACAGTGTTAACTGGAACTTCCAGCTCATCAGCCACGCATAAAGACATGCTGAAAACATGGATGATTGGAGTGGAGCATTAACTCATTTGGTAATTTGTGCTCCTAAGGAATGTGACACTAGAAACAGGATCCAAGTTGCCTGGCACCTACTACCATTCCAATTAAACAATTCTTAAAAGCTGCAAGTGCTCTCATGTACAAGTTCTCGCAGCAGCCTCAGGCACTTGTGATTTCATTGCTATGGGCTGATCCCAGACACAGCTCAGCATCCTCAACTGTCATGAGAAAGAGCAGCAGGAAAAGTGCCTTATAGCCAGGAGAAATGGGTCGCAGAGAGAAAAATGAGAGCAGAATGAGGGGGCTGCAATACCATCTCAGAATCCAGAAAAAACCACCAGCCTACCCTCTGTCTCCCTGCTTGTGCATACCAAGATAGGAAACACAAAACTCTGCCTCAAAGCCTATCTTCTCCTGTAAAGGATGCTGCTGGTATATACAAACCTCTTCTTGCCTAGGAAAAAGCTGCAGAAGACCTTTCATGCCACATATCCAAGCCCTATTTATGTATTTGTGAAGCAAGAGACATGACCTCTTCTGTAAATCCACCACAAACTCTGAAACTCTTCATTTCAATCTAGATTTTCTTGCTTGTATAGCAAACAAATTCTATTTCTGGGCCTCAATTAACCACCTGTGGGTTTAATTGCTTCTTATGAATCCTGCTGTACCAAACTAACTACACATTGTTAAGCACATGTGTGTACACACATTAAAAAAAAAATGTATGGGAGTCAGAAAAGGAAGACCAAGAGCTGTGTGAGCCTGAACAAGGGCCTGGAGTATTGAAGGCTGTATGGAGTCAGAAAAGGAAGATCAAGAGCTGTGTGAGGCTGAACAAGGGCCTGGAGTATTGAAGGCTGCTGGGCTAATCTTGAGCAAGTGGTTCAGGACCCTGCAAGCCAGAATTGGAAAGGCACTGACAACTTGTGGAAAGCACAGCTCAGCAGCAGATACACCCTGGAGTCAAAACACAGCAGAGCCTACAGAGACTTTTTTAATCCTTCTAACAAGGCTGCATTTGCTTTCACTAAAAGGAGGTAAAAACAACTCCCACCAGCAATTTACATGTACTTTTGGCTCACAGGTCCTGATACCTGCAAAGCCTTTCTTGGACACATCTGTGTTTCTGACAGCATGATGAGCAAGTGTGTGTAGAACACATTGCCACTTCTGTTTAGACAATTCCTCATGCCAGTTCCCAGTTGCACAGACTTTATGTGGGATACATGGACAGTCAATACAGGGTCAGACTGAAGGACACCTCTCCCTGTATGCTGCTCTCCAGTACAGTCAGAAGCAGCAGCCTGGAGAAAACCAGAATAAACACACAGTGTTTCTCCACATCTGTACACTGGAACCTTCTGTCCCAGCCACAGTGTCTGTCTACTTCATTCAGCCCTCCCTGAGCTTGTGTTAAAACCATCCAGAGACTTCACTGACGAAGAAACCTTCGTAGGATTAATTCCTGCTCCAAAAACTCAACTCACTGCTCCTCACCCACATGAATCACTTTATACCTGCACTTCCTCACCTTCAGCCCTCCACCACCTCAAATAAGGTAAAGCCAGACTCTTTTTCCCACATCATTTACCAACCATCCCTACCCCTCCCTAAGAGTGTGACCACCAGCTCCCCATTTACTCACACCCTCTTTCCTATCTTTGCAGCAACTGTTTATTCAGGATGGTGAACTCCCTTCTTATGTCACAGGCTGCTCAGGTAAGACCTCCTATTTAAAAGCTTCCTGAAATAGTGCAGACTCTAAGCCAAACCTCTCTACTTGTTTACTCTAAAATTAATCAGCGAGGTGAGGGATGGGACAGCAACACAAGGGTGGTCCAGGCTGAGCCAGACGTGCTCGGCAAGGCCTTA